AAGTGATCCACCTGCCTTAGCCTGTCAAAGGTCTGGGATTATAGATGTGGCCACTGGGCCTGGCCCCTTCCTTAGATTTATAATGCCTTAATTACAAGAGGCTGTGACAACACCCGTCCGGTGGGCCCTTGATCAACACAGGTTTGAACTATGCAAGCCACTTACTCATGAAGTTTTTTTCAACTGAACATGGATTGCAAGGTGGAAAACCCACGTATAGGGAGGGCTGACTCTTCATATCCAAGTGTTTTTCCAGGCTGACTGCAGGACTTGAGTTTGTACAGATTTTCGTTTACTAGGAGGTCCTGGAGCCGGTCCCCTGAGCACACCCAGGGATGACTGTATTTGAAATAGTCATCCTGTATTTCAAAGCCCAGAGGTTTTTGTCTCTAGGACAATGCATTGCAGGAAGATACAAGAAAGAGTGGAGTTGGCTTTATTTTGTAGGGTGAGAAAGAGAGAGAATGCTGTGCCTACTGCGCTGCTTCTTTCTCAGGAAGATTAATATTAGGAAAGAAAACACGGATTTCCTTAAGGCTATCCATGCTGATAAACACCTGGAAGGACACGAGTTCCTCGGGGGTGTGTGTGCCATCATCTGAGGGTGCCTGCATAAGCATCATCTTCACTTTGACAACGATTGGGATCCTGCTCCTGGCTTTTTTTTTCTTTTTTTAAGTTAAACATAATACCTTTCATTTGATGTCATTTCTTTCTAAGTCTGTAGGATACTCCATTGTACGAAAGTGTTAAAGTGTTATCGTTTCTTTGACCTAGTTCCCCACTGCTAGGTATTTAGATTGTTTTCAATCTTGTTTGTGTTACAATCAATGCTGGAACAAACAACTCCATACGCATGCTTTGTGTATGTGTGGGAGAATATCTGGAGAGGAAATCCTGGAAGTGGGATTGCTGGGTCAAAGGGCATGAGCACGTACAGCTTTGATAGGTGTTGCCAAATCCCCCTCCACAAAGACTGAGCCTGTTTACACTCCCACATGGGGAATGAGGTGGCCCTTTCCCTCAATCTGCCCAACACAGTATGTTAGCAAATGTTCTCATCTTTGCCAATAGGAGTCAAACATTATATCTCACTGTAGTTTTATAGTCATATCTTTTCTTAGGTTGATATCCCACTGTAACTTTCCTGGGAACTGTCAGTTTGCACCTTTTTCCAGTTTTCTATTGGATTAGTCTTTTTCTTGAATTGTATTAACACTTTATTTACTGAAGAAATTAGATCTTTTTCTCTTAGAATTGTTGCAAATATCTTCTCCCAGCTCATCACTTACATTTCTACTTAGGGTATGTGTTTTTTGTGTTGTACAGAAAACCTTAATTATTTCATAGATTTCTCCATCTAATTTTATGACTTCATGGATTTCATGTGTTATTTATTTATTTATTTTGAGATGGAGTCTTGCTCTGTCACCCAGGCTGGAGTGCAGAGGCGCAATCTTGGCTTACTGCAACCTTCGCCTCCTGGGTTCAAGGGACTCTCCTACCTCAGCCTCCCGAGTAGCTGGGATTACAGGTGCCCACCATCTCACCTACCTAAATTTTTGGTAGAAACAGGTTTTTAGTAGAGATGGCATTTCACCATGTTGGCCAGGCGGGTCTCCAACTCTAGACGTCAGATGATCTGCCTGCCTCGACCTCCCAAATTGTTGGGATTACACTGTACCCAGCCTCATGCAACATTTTGAAAATCTTGCTCTGAAATTATTCTTCTTAATTCTTTCATGCTTTCTTCATGCTCTCTTTTCTTTCCCTTGTTACTTTAAAATTTTTAACTCATCTGGAGTTTATTTTGGTGTAAGGAGTGAGGTAAGGATCTAACTTCGTGGCCCTCCCATTGTCCCAACACCACTGATGAACTTACACCTCTTTCCACTGGTATAAAATCTGCTTTGAGCACAGTCATAGTCCTTAAGATCGTCCCATTGATGTGAATGACTTCTCCTGCCTAGGACTGAACTTCTTTAGTTCTGCTGGTTACCACTATTACTCTTCTATGTCAGAGTTTTCTAGCCATTCTTTTTTATCTTTTTTCTTTTTCTGGCTATTTTTGAATACTCATTTCAAATAAAAATTTTTCAATCAGCTTCCTAATTCCCCTGGAATAAAGCAAGTTTTTTTTTTAATCACCCTTAAATGAATAATTAATTAGGGAGAATAGACAACTTTCTAATATCAAGTCCCTCTATCCAACAGCAGGGTGTTCCTTCCAACTATTCAGTCCTTCTGCTGAGCCATTTTGAAATGTCCAGCTACAGAAATCAGAAAAAGAAAAACGTTAGGAAAAAACCCAGAAATTAATAAATAAATAACCATAATGAGATACCATCTGGCACCAGTCATAATGGCAATTATTAAAAAGTCTAAAGAAATCTGGGAACTGCAGCTCATGCCTGTAATCCTAGTACTTTGGAAGGCCGATGCAGGCAGATCACTTGAGGTCAGGAGTTTGAGAACAGCCTGGCCAACATGGTAAAACCCCATCTTTACCAAAAAATACAAAAAATTTGGCTGGGTGTGGTGGCAGGTGCCTGTAGTCATCGCTACTGTGGTGGCTGAGGCACAAGAATTGCTTGAACACAGGAGGTGGAAATTGCAGTGAGCTGAGATCATTCTGATGCACTCCAGCCTGGGTGACAGAGTGAGACTCCATCTCAGAAAAAAAAAGAAAAGAAAAAGGCAAATCATAAGAGATACTAGTGAGGCTGTGGAGAAAAAGGAATACTTATGCACTGCTGGTGAGAATATAAAGTAGTTCAGCCACTGTGGAAAGCAGTTTGGAGATTTCTCGAAGAACTTAAAGCGGAATTACATTTGCCTCAACATCCCATTAGTGGGTATGTATCCAAAAGAAAACAAATAATTCTACCAAAAGATGCATGCTCTTGCATCTTCCTCACAGTGCTATTCACAACAGCAAAACACGAAATCAACCTCGGTGCTTATCAACCGTGGATTGGATAAAAAAAATGTAGTACACATACACCATGAAATACTATGCAGCCATAAAAAAGAAAAAGCATGGACTTTGCAGCAACAGGAATGGTGTTGGAGGCTATTATATTAAGCGAATTAACACAAGAATGGAAAACCAAACACTGCATATTCTCACTTATAGGTGGGAACTATACATTAAATATACATGGACTCACAGGCGGCAGCAGTAGATCCTGGGGGCTACCAGATGGGAGAGGGAGGAGAGTGTGGGCTAAAAACCCACCTACTGAGTGCTATGCTCACTACCTGGGTAATGTGATCGTCTGCACCCAAACCACAGTGTCACACAATATACCCATGTAATAAACCTACCCATGTATCCTTTAATGTATAATAAAAGTTGAAATTACAAATAAATAAATGTGGATGGACATGGTGACTCACACTTGTAATCCAAGCACTTTGTGAGGCCAAGGTGGGTAGATCACTTGAGCTCAGGAGTTCAAAACCAGCCTGCACAACATGGCAAAACCTGTTTTTGCCAAAAATACAAAAAGTAGCCAGGTGTAGTGGCTGTTCCTGTAGTCCCAGCCACTAAGGAGGGTGAGCTCAGGGGAGTGCTTGAGCCTGAAAGGTTGAGGCTTCAGTGAGCCTTGATTGTCACTGCACTCCAGGCTGGGCAACAGAGCAAGGCCCTATCTCAAAAATAAATAAATAAATAGTCGGGGGTGAGGGGCAGCTCCTGGTCAGCCTGTGAGTAACCATGGGCTGAGCGTACCCCTTGTTCAGTGAAAGCAGACTGCACTGCTCCCAGGATCAGGGGACCTTTGCAGGAGGCCTGGTTGGACAACGGCAGGGTTGGAGTGGGAACTTGCTGCTGCCCCCTCTTTCTGGAGCCTGTACCAGTGGTCTCCTCTTCTCTACTGCAGACACTTGCAATGCTTGTGACTTAATCAAGTCTCATTTTTATAGAAGCATCTGGGGCTAAACAAATAAGGCAATGCCTCCTAGGCAACTGGTCAGGCCTTGTCTCCCCTGCAACTTTTCCTGACCATTGCCTTCAATGCCCAGGACGAATCACAGAGGAGCTACGGGACCTTTTGGCTTGGGCCACATATTCATAAAAGTCCTCAGATTTACACTTCTCACCCCACTGTCAGTTGAGGTGAATCATGGAAGCACATCGAGAAAACTGAAAAAAGACATTCACCAGACAACTTAAATACAAGTCTCATTACCAACAATGCCACACCGTTCACTGTAAATTTCATATCAACCATAACGGATCTGTGAAAGCACAGCTATATTGCAGGTTGTTGTCCTATGTAAAAGAATACTTAAAAAATTAAGCCTATATATTTTGAGTGACACATTAACTATCACTCAAACTTTAATTGGGGCTGGGCATGATGGCTCACACCTATAATCCCAGCAGGTTAGGAGGCCAAGGTGGGTGGATCACTTGAGGTCAGGAGTTCGAGACCAGCCTGGGCAACATGACAAAACCCTGTCTCGACTAAAAATACAAAAATTAGCTGGGCAGGTGGTGGGTGCCTGTAATCCCAACTACTAGGGAGGTTGAGGCAAGAGAATCGCTTGAACTTTGGAGGCAGAAGTTGTAGTCAGCCAAGATCTTGCTACTACACTCCAACCTGGGCAACACAGTGAGACTCTGTGTCAAAACAAAAAACAGAACAACAACAACAACAAAACCCTTAATTGGTATAGTATGCTTTTCGTTGTATCAAAAACTTGAAAGTTATATCAGTTTACCACCCAAATCCTAGATATTATGATTGAAATACTTCAAATAACATATTTTTATATACAGATACATAAAACAATAATGTATTATCTTGCATTTTTAATGGTAAAATAAAGATTAAGCATATGGCTTATGCAATTGGAATTTGGCATAACTTTATTTTTTCATATGTTGAAGTCCTCCAAAATGAAAGAGTGCAAAGGCTTGTTGAGGGCAACAACAGTCTTACCTCGTGATCCTAAGCCTAAGAGCGTCAGGTTTTAACCCCATCCCAACTCACATGACGATTTCCTTCCGTGTCTGCTCCAGCATCATGTACTGCGTCCACTCCTGTTCACTCTCGTACATCTTAGACTGATCCACGATCTTTTGGAACATCGTCCTCTTCCTACAAGACACACCAGTCTAGTAAAGGGAACAAGTCTTAGAATAAGGCAACACCTGAACTGCTAACACTGGCTGAATCAGATGGAGGCTTATTAAATCAACATAATTCACAGAACAAGGTTGAAAGAACCCAGGCCTGGGAGTGAAGACCTAGCTCTAACCTAAGTCTCTCCCACTGATTTGTGATCTAATCTTAGCAAATCTCTTGCCCTGAATCTCAGTGTTCCCATCTGTATAATGAGGGTAATAATATCTAACTCACAGAGTTGTAGCAAGAATCAATGTGTCCATAACTCACGTGTTGTGCCTGACACATAATAATGTTTATTAATATCATCATTGTTGCTGGATGCAGTGGCTCCTGCCTGTAATCCCAATACTTAGGGCGGCTCAGGCAGAAGGATGGCTTGAGCCGAGGAGTTTGAGATCAGCCTGGGCAACATAATGAGAACCCACCTTTATAGCAAATTAAAAAATTATCCAGGTGTGATGGCGTTCCTGTGGTCCCAGACACTCAGGAGGCTGAGGTGGGAGGATCACTCGTGCCCAGGAGGCAGTGAGTTGTGATGGTGACACTGCACTCTAGCCTGGGCAACAGAGCTAGATCCTGTCTCAAAAATATATATATATTATATATATAGAATACATATATATATATATAATCATTGTTACTCTTACTATTAAAATAAGAAATACCGACTTGAAATACAGGGCGAGGTCTGTGGCAATGATTGCAATGTCCATCATGTGGATGGCGTGCTCATGCTGTCGGCGATTGAGGTTTTGAAAGATATTCAGGCTCTAAGAAAAAAAACAGGCGAGATGGGAGAGAATTGATGCTGGCAGTAAAGTCACCCATCGACCAATGGCCGCCCCAGATGATGGCAGAGGCAGTCCAGGCCAATGGAAAGAATGCTTCCAGGGCACACTCAGGCTGCTTGTGAGATGGGGTCTCTGATCCACGCCCAGTGGCAGGTGTAACCTTGACCCTCATCCTACCTCGTCTCTGAGCAATGTTTTGCCAAACTCCAAGTGGTGTCTTTCCAAGATAGAGGACCCATGCAGCTTGGCCAGTGGGTTCTGGGATCTGAATGAGAGAGAGAGGGAGAGAGAGGGAGAGAGAGAGAATCAATACGGAATGGACAATAGAAAATTAGGGCTAAATATTAAGCCTCCTGCCTCGGTCTTTAACCTTCTCCACAAGTGATTCCAAGCTACTTTTAGGTCATGAACTCATTAGAGGATCTACTAAATAGTGTGGACCCTTTCCCCCAGAAAAAGCCACAAACACACACAATGCAATAAAGGATTTTAGGGACATTAGCATTGGCCCATGCTTCGAGATCGTCTAGCCCTGATTCTTCATATCCGAGTCTTGACTATTCATTTCTGAATTCAATAAATATTTGTTGAGCACTTACTATGTGCCACACACTGTGCTAAGTATTTAGATTCTCAAAATGTAAAATGTAAATACAATCTCTAGCCCCAGAGCAGCATGGAAGTATTGAGAAGAGTCAGAGCAGCATGAATTCAGAGCTTGTTAATGACTTACAGGCCATGGGCCCTGAGCGGAGACTCAGTTTTCTCCTGTGTAAGTAGGGATAACATCAATCCCTGCTCTGCCCAGCCCACTTGGTGGTTGTGAGGATCCAATGGGATCATGGCTCAAGAACTATGCTTCATGGGCTGTCTGAATATAAGAGCCCCCTCCCACTCTGTGAGGACAGGGGCTGTTTTGCTCATCGGAGCACCTCCTTTGCCTAGCATAGAGCCTACCACCTATATTAGCAGCATTATAAATACAAGATGGGGCTGGGTGTGGTGGCTCATGCCTGTAATCCCAGCACTTTAAGAGGCCGTGTCAGGTGGATCGCTTGAGGTTGGAAGTTCAAGACCAGCCTGACCAACACGGAAAAACCCTGTCTCTATAAAAATCAATAAATAAACAAACAAACAAATAAATAAATAAATGAGATGAATGAATGAACCATTACTGGTTACTTAACATCTTGGCCCAAATTAGTACAGCAGGTAGTAGAGGAAGGAGACAAGAAAGGATTTTAATGCATTAGTTTTCTATGGGCGTTGTAACAAACTGCCACAGACTTAATGGCTTAAAACAATAAAATGCATCATTTTACAGCTCTGTATGAAGTCTGAAGTGGGTCCTTAGGGCTGCTTTCCTTCTGGGGGCTCCAGAGGAGAATCTGTTTCCTTGCTTTTTCGAGTTTCTGGAGGCCACCTCCTTGCTTGTAGCCCATGCCTCCATCTACAAAGCCAGCAGAGTAGCGTCGCCTCTCTTCTCTGACCTCCTGCTTCCCTCTTATAAGGATCCTTGGGACTACATGGGGCCCACTTGAGTACTCCCTGTATCTCAAGATCCTTGACTTAATCACATCTGCAAAGTCCCTTTTGAATGTAAGACAACATAGTCCCCAGCTCAGGGATTTGAAATCTGACATCTTTGAGGGGTCATTATTCTGGCTGCTACAGGAGGAGACTCAGATCCCAAGGACAGAAGGCAGTGGGAATCTGTGGAGCACAAGACTTCCCTGTTGGCCAGTGAGCCTGCCTGGGGGCCACACACAACTGGATAATAAATCCAAAGGGCTGGGGGTGGGGAGGGAGGCTGACTCACTTCATCTGGTAGAGGTTGTTGGTGCCTCTGTGGTCAATGTCATGGCAGAAAGCAGCAGTGACCATGGCCAGGGCCTCCAGGTCCGTGAAGTAGCGCTTCAGTTTTCCGGTCTGGAAGGGCAAGCAGAATGCAAATCATTCCTTTGTGTAGGGGCTGGAAGCAGGGCTGAAAAGGCGGATGAGAGGAGGAGGGCCCAGAACTAGGAAGTATGAGTCTGATCTTGGCTGTATCCTGGCCCCGGAGGCTGACCGGAGGACTGCCCAGGGCTGAGGGGTTTTTTTGGGATGTGGTACTTTAGGTGCCAGAATGGGGAAAGTACCAGGTAAATGGAGACAACTGGCCACCCTGTTTCTGAGTAGACCTTAGCTGGTCTCATCTCCCTCTGAACCTCAGTAACCCAATCTACATACAAGGGGCGGAACATATTAGATTAGGTGATTTTTGAGAAACTTGTAGATGTCAGGTTTTAGGATTTGGAGAGTTTCTGAACATGGCCAGACTGGCAAAACAAACCTTCCAAACCAGGTCTACGAGTTTAAGCACAGCCTGGGAGAATCCTTCCTTATGATTCTGACAGACACTTAACTCCTTGTTGATGCTGGATGTTGAAACAAAATGTGGGAAAGTGCTCTGGAGAGCTGATGCTGACTTTAAGAAAGAAATCACTCTATGTGGTGTTCTTGTCACCTTCTGTGATAGCCTGGTCAGAATTCCTGCTTCTGGCCCTAGCACCTACTCTGGCCTGACCATTTCAGCCAAGGGGGAAGGAATGAGGATGAGGAAGGGCAGGGATTTGCATCATGATCTGAAGGGGAAATAATTTTAATTAAAACATAAAGGTCTCCGATCCTCTGAGCCAAAAATACGGACACAAATACACAAAGAAAAGTTCCTCCAAGGATATTGTGGCACTGTTTGTAATAGTGAAAGATTGAAAACATTTCCAAGTCCAACAATAGAACACTATGCAGCCATAAAATTGTATCATGGATAAGCTTTCAAACATTATACTAAGTGAAATACACCAGACACATAAGGACAAATGCTGTCAGATTTCACTTATATGAGGTGCATAGAATAGTCTAGATGAAAGAAACAAAAAATAAGATAGGACCAGGCACAGCAGCTCATGCCTGTAATCCCAGCCCTTGGGAGGCTGAAGCAGAAGGACCACTTGAGCCTAAGAGTTCAAGACCAGCCTAGGCAACACAGCCAGACCCTGTCTCCACAAAACTAAAAATTTAGCTGGGCATGGTGGCGCATACTGTGTTCCAGCTACTTGGTGTTAGTCCAAACTGCACCATTTTGTAACCTCCCCATTATTTTACAGACCTTGGTCAAAGTGAAACTTTTCATAGGGGTTTGGGCGGTGAGAGACATCCTGCATAACTACCTGACCACAAGGCAGACAAAGGCCCGACTAAAGAAACATCCTAGCATATCTTGCTGGGTAAAAGTCCAAGAAATACCACGATGGCATCCCTCCGGGACAAGGGCGCAACAGCCTCATCATGAGAACATCTTATTAACATCCTGCCAGGCAACAAGCCCTGCTGCCCAGACCCCTCCCACCCACACCTGTATCCTATAAGCAGCGGTGGGCTCTGGCATTAGGCTGCTCCCCACTTCTGTAGGTTTTATGCTGGACATAAAGCCTGCATTTGCCGTTGAGCTGCCCTCTTTCTGTTTGTGTGTGTCCTTCTTTAACCCTCACCTTCCCTTCAAAACCTAACACTTGGAAGACTGACGTGGAAAGATCGCTGGAGCCTAGGAGGTCAAGACTGCAGTGAGCCATGTGTTCTCAGCACTACACTCCAGCCTATGTGACAGAGCAAACCATCTCTCAAAAAAAACATCTAAGAGGATAGAGATTAAATGTTGCCTCCTCTACAATTTCTTATTACCAAGAGAATAAAAATATTTGGGACTGTTCGTAAACATGTTCTGTGCCACAGTGGCAGATTGCACTGTGGGAAAGTACATGCTTCTAGAAATTATTATTCACAGACTATTGACCTACGGATTGCTGATGTGACAGACAGTTCACAGTTTTTGCTTGCCTCTTAGTGTTCACTGGAAATTAAGGTCACTAAGGGTTAAGAATTCTAATTAACATAGGGATATATTAACATATATCCCTATATTATTTAGAATTAATAACCCTTAATTAATATATTAATAATAATGAGTTAATATATTATTACTAAAAATAAGGGAAACAATACTATAAGCAATTATATAAAAACGCAAAAAGTCCTTTTGGTAAGAAAAAGCTGTAGACATGAGGATGTTTTATTTTGTTAAGGGGGAAAAGAGAATTTTTGTCCTAAATTAAGACAACTGGTTGTTCCAAAATGAGAAGAGGAAAAAGTACAGTACAAAAGCTGAATGGATAAGAAAGTTGTAGAAGGCTTGTGGAGGAGAAATCTTGTGAAAGGAATTGCTTATCATTAAGTTGGCTAAGATTAAAAGAAAATTATTTTTAAGTTTTTCTAAAATGTTGATATTAATGCTATCTTGAACATTAATGTCCAACATACACTGATGCACAACTAGAATTTAGACCTCTCTTTAAAACAACAAAATTTTCTTGGAGTATTGGTCTGCTTTTAAAAGGAAATTTATCTTTTAGGTAATTGGCTTAGGAAACAACAATTCTGTGCTTTATCAAACTAATTTCCCGTACTCTAGGTTGTCTTTATTAGGTTTTTTGATCACTTAGGAATTTTCTGTATTAAAAGAGCTAAGGTCTTTCTATAAGTATGTAACTTTCTGTGTTTGCCTTTGAAGTCTTTTATTTATCACTTTGGTCAAATGAATGACTACTGTTCACAGTGATCTTTTCTTTTCCTTTCTTTTCTTTTGAGACAGAGTCTCACTCTGTCCCCCAGGCTAGAGTGCAGTGGTGCAAGTGCAACTCAGTGCAGTTTGGACCTCCTGGGTTCAAATGATCCTTCCACCTCAGCCTCCTGAGTAGCTGGGACTACTGGTGCATGCCTCCACACTGGGCTAAATAACCTTATTTTGGACTGGGCGCAATGGCTCTTTCCTGTAATCACAGCACTCTGGAAGGCTGAGGTGGGTGGACCACTTGATGTCAGGAGTTCGAGACCAGCTTGGTCAACATGGTCAAATATCATCTCTACTAAAAATATTAAAAATCAACTGGGCCTGGTGGCACGCACCTGTAACCCCAGTTACTTGGGAGGCTGAGACGGGGGAATTGCTTGAACTCAGGAAGCAGAGTGCAGTGAGCCAAGATCATGTCACTGTACTCCAGCCTGGGTGACACAGCAAGACTCGGTCTCAAAAAAAAAGAATAAGCATTTTAAACCTTTGATGTTTTTTAGAAACTTCCCAAAGTCATGTTCTTTTTTTTTTGAGACAGTGTCATTCTGTCACCCAGGCTGGAGTGCAGTGGCATGATCTCGGCTCACTGCAATCTCTGCCTCCTGGGTTGAAGTGATTCTATGGCCTCAGCCTCCTGAGTAGCTGGGATTAGGCACATGCCACCACACCTGGCTAATTTTAAAAAACATTTCTGGTAGAGACAGAGTTTCACCATGTTGGCCAGGCTGGTCTCAAACTCTTGACCTCAAGTAATCCGCCCGCCTTGGCCTCCCAAAGTGCTGGGATTATAGGCATGCACCACCACACCCGGCCCCAAAATAATATTCTAAAATAAGTATTTTTCTTGACTGCAAATTAACTTTGGAATTTTTCAGATGAACTTTTGGATCATCTTAAAAAGATATCTCTTCTTGTAAAAAGAGAGACATTAAACTAATTAGGCTTATTTGATATATTAAACTATATGGGAAACATTGTCAAATACCATTAATGCTAAATCTTTGAGTTCTAGTCTATGGATGTGTTATTAATGTGTTTCAAACTGTATACAATTCACAGAAATCTAGTACTCCTGGTATAACACTGTCAGTCACAATTTTAGTTATTGTCTTAAAATGTTTGTGACAGAAATAACCAAATTTCCTTGTCAATTGTGTCATTATTGTAATGAACGCTCATGAGATCTTTAACTATGACCATGTAAAGTCTCGTCATCCACAGACGGTTCTTCACTCTGCTACTTTCTGAGCAGCTATAAGCCTAAAGTGTTTCATCTTCATAAGATTATACCATTGGACTGGGGAAGAATTCCCAGAATTCCAATGAAGAAATTGACTGGTTCATAAAACTGCTAACTCAATATTAAGCAGAATAAAAAATAATTGAAAATTTAAAAAAAGATTTGGTAGGTATTTTTTGATTTGGTAGATTTTTATGCTAAGTCAGCCAGTACTGAAATTGGTAAGATATACAATTCAAATGAACTCTATAATATTGATCCAAGTCAAATTACCTATGATAACCTATTTAATAAACAGTTCTATGCACCTGAATTAGAGAACAAAATTGGTGTTTAAAAGGATATAAATCCAATGTTAAGTGTGGACTTATGGAGAGCCCCAATAGCCAGCTGTCCTTAATGAGTCCTTAAAGCTTCCATTATTAGATTCCTGCACTCCATGAGTCATCATGGACGACACAAAATGACAGAAATTATGACAAAATATTGACAGGGTGACTGCTCTAAAATTGCTAAAATGGGCTGGGCGCAGTGGCTGGTGCCTGAAATCCCAGCACTTTGGGAGGCTGAGACTGGAGAATCACTTGAGGTCAGGAGTTTGAGACCAGCCTGGCCAACGTGGCAAAATCCCATCTGTACTAAAAATACAAAAATTAGCCAGGACTGGTGACATATGCCTGTAATCCCAGCTACTTGGGAGGCTGAGGCAGAAATATCACTTGAACTTGGGAGGTGGAAGTTGCAGTGAGCTGAGATCACATTGCTGCATTCCAGCCTGGATGACAGAGTGAGACTCCATTGCTAAATAAATAAATATAATTGCCAAAATGGTTTTAAGAAGTATTTGGGGCCAGGCGTGGTAGCTCACACCTAAAATCTCAAATACTTAGGAGGCCAAGGCAGGAGGATCACTTGAACCCAAGAGTTCAATACCAGCCTGAACAACATGGTGAGACCCTGTCTCTACAAAACAATTTAAAAATTAGCCCAGTATGGTGATGAGTGCCTATTGACCCAGCTACTTGGGAGGCTGAGATGGAAAGATTGCTTGAGCCTAGGTCAAGGCTACAGTGAGCCATAATGACACCACTGCTCTCCAGCTTGGGCAACAAAGCAAGATCCTATCTCAAAAAAAGACCCTATGAGTTTGACAAATCAAACTCATAATGCTAACATGACAATAAAAATCTCAGGCAACACATTTCCGGCAGCCACTGGATTATTTGAACACTTACAGATGGATTTCACTTAACTGCCACCTTCAATGCATCTTTTCTGGTTTTATAGAACCGTTCCCATACAGGAAGGCTAATGCTATAGCACTATACTATAGCACTTTTAAAGCTTTAGAATATTTAAAAGAAAATATTTTTTCTTTAGGTTTAATGGCTTGTGTCTATAATTCCAGCAACTTGGGAGACTGCAGCAGGAGGATCACTTGAGGCCAGGAGTTTAAGACCATGGCAACATAGTGAGACTTCATCTCTTAAATAAAAAAACCAAAATAAATAAATCAGTCCAGCATGGTGGTACATGCCTGTAGTTTTAGCTACTTGGGAGGCTGAGGTGAAAGGATCACGTGAGCCCAGGAGTTTGAGGCTGCACTGAGCTATGATCACATCACCACACTTCATACGGGGCAACAGAGTGAGGGCTCATCTCAGAAAAAAAAAACTTAAAAAATATTTTTCTCTTGTGGGGAATTCTTGAGAAAATCTCCAGAGACTTTTCTGAAAGCACTGTCAAATAATAATACTAAGCTTTGTTTCAGTTATAGTCTATGGATGTGTTATTGATATGTGTTTCAGAAACTGTATAACATTTTCCTTTTTTTTTTTTTTTTTTGAAATAATCTCTCATTCTGCCACCCAGGGTAGAGGTCAGTTGTGCCATCATGGTTCACTGCAGCCTCGATTTCCTGTGTTCAAAGGATCCTCCTGCCTTACCTGCTGAGTAGTTGGGACCACAGGTATGTGCCACCATATCTGGCTAATTTTTGTATTTTTTATAGAGATGGGGTTTTACCATGTTGCCCAGACTGACCTTGAACTCCTGGGCTCAAGCAATCCACCCATGTCAGCCTCCAAAAACGTTGCAATTACAGGTGTGAGCCACCATGCCCGACCTGTATGAAATTTATAGATCTAGATAAAGAGGTATTCATTTCACTAGACAAATTGTAAAACAGTTTACAAAGATATAAACACAATTGCATTGGCAAAGCTAACTGAATCAATTGGATTGCCTTGGTCAAAGGTATTCTCAATTGGTGGCAATCAGATCCACTCCTGCCAGAAAACAGATTGACCCCATATGAAACAGTTACAGGAAGATGTTTGGCCCTGATAACAGAACCTCATTTATCTTCCACTCTTTTTTTTTTTTCCTTTTTTAAATTTTGAGACAGAGTCTCCCTCTGTTGCCCAGGCTGGATGGCAGTGGTTCGATCTCAGCTCACTGCAACCTCTGCCTCCTGGGTTCAAGCAATTCTCCTGCCTCAGCCTCCCAAGTAGCTGGGACTACAGGTGCATGCCACTGCACCCTGCTAATTTTTGATATTTTTAGTAGAGACTGGATTTCACCGTGTTAGCCAGGATGGTCTCTGTCTCCTGACCTGGTCATTTGCCCAGCTTGGCCTCTGAAAGTGTTGGTTTACAGGCGTGAACCACAGATTTAGACACTATGCCCAGCTATCTTCCACTCTTATAAACTCTGACATGATTCAGTACTGCAGGACTTTACTGCATTATGCCAAAGTTTATTTTTCATCAGGTTAAAGAAGCTCTTTGTGACCCACAAATTGATGACAACCAGACCTTTCATGATCTAGAACCCAGAGATTAGGTCTTTTGGAAATGACACCAAAGGAAGACTGCTCTTGAACTCCACTGGAAGGGACCATACCAAGTTCTCTACTGCAAAACCATGGTACCTTGAGTCTTGGATCTCCATCTCTCAACTCCGAAGGTCCCTCCAGAGTCCTGGAACTATACGCCTGTTGGACTCCTTCAGGTAAAGCTAACCAGGGAAGGTTTTCCCTAGAAACAGATGGCATTCAAATAGGAAGAGTGTTCCCAAGATCATAGATCAAGACTTCTCTGCCAGCATGAAGGAAACAGCACTCTGACCTTTCTACTTAATAACCTAATCACTGCCAAATACAGAAAACCCTTCTGAGTGATGCTTATCAAAGCTATATCATGCCTTCAGGTATTGTGGAGTCAAGACTTAGAGACTACCCATGTGGCTAGGAGTAATTGCTTTCAGGATGTCACAGGATTAAATCCAGTAATGCTTCTTTCACTAAATGTGGTTATGCAATGTTACAGTATGATATGAAGGGACCACAAAAAGTAAGTGTCCCACTGGACCCTGTTCAGGAGCTATGAAGACTTACGGGCCGACAAACTCAACTGAACTCTGTTCAAGCACCACTAGGTGGCCTCTTTTCCACTCCCCAAGGACTTATATTGGGTTTGCTTACTCTGTTCTCTCTCCCTGCTGGTGCAGAACTTACTATTTGGCCAGGCTCATTCCTTGCTCCCAAACAGCTTTCCCTGAACGTTCCCATAATAGCTCCCACAATCAAAGGCCAAAGCAATTGATAACCAAAATCATTACCAACCTCAAAATGGATGAAGATAAGTTAGTTTCTACTGAGGAAAGTTTTCAATGGGTTTCCTGGGGGCTCACTCTTGCTGGTGGAGGGCTACCAGTTATAGGGAGTTTGAAGCTCATTATACATTGGAGGGAAATCTTGGATTTTATAGTCAATCAGGCCTCCCAGGCTTAGAGAGCAACTCTCTAAAATGTGGATGAGAAGATTCATGGAAACACTCAATAGAACAGGATGCAGCTTTAGACATCCTCTTTGGCCTCGTTGGCTTGCATATGGTGCTGAACCAAATCCAATGTGGCACTTATCTTTTCCCTGATTTGAGTACTACAGGAAGCTTAATGTAAAAGTTGGCTGATACTGCTGTTTCTCTAGACACTGCCACAACTTAAGGAAATCTAAGAAAATTTCTGAGGAAAAGAACACATGATGTGTTTATGGGAGCAAATAACAGGCGGTTTGCAGGCATCTTGAATGGTGAATGGCAAACTTTTCTATTCCAAGGTTTTCTAATCTTTTATCATTTATTTATATATTTATTTATTGAGATGGAGTGTCACTGTTGGTGCCCAGGCTGGAGTGCAATGGTGTGTTCTCAGCTTGCTGCAACTCTGCTTCCCAGGTTCAAGCTATTCTCCTGCCTCAGCCTCCCAAGTAGCTGGGATTGCAGGTGTGTGCCACCACCTCCAGCTAATTTTTGTATTTTTAGTAGAGGAAGGGGTTCACCATGTTGGCCAGGATGGTCTCGATCTCTTGACCTCCTGATCCACCCGCCTCGGCCTCCCAAAGTGCTGGGATTACAGGCGGGAGCCAGCGCACCCGGCTTATGTTTTTTTTTTTTTAAAGTGGATTTCCAAATTATTATGACTTGCATTACCAGGCTAACTTCAGAAATCATGCCATTTAAAAATGAAGTATGTTTCTAATTGTCATTATGCCCCAAACAAAGACTATGACCGATGACCAACTGAACTGTTGAATAATATTAATACTTGTGACGTGGTTACCTCTAAATAACCAGACTGAGGTTGGGGGTAGCTTGCAGCTTTCTTTCACTTTTTTTTATATGCCTCTCTATTCTTAAAATCCTTTCATACAAAAGCCTGTACTGCTTTCACATAAATCTTAAAAGGCAATAAATAGAACAAGAAGAACAATGCTGTTGCTACCATGTAGAGTCTGCATGAGATTGTCTAGTGTGATGCAAGCCCACCCTACCAGCCCCACCGGCCCCGCCATACCACCAGTAGGGAGAACATGGTCTGGCCCACGTTGAAGCCATGCCGCCAGTTGTGGTAGGTGATCTTGCGGTAGCCCTTACTCAGGGAGTACATGAACCGCACCAGGGCCTGTGAACACATGCATATCAGTGAGGCAGGACATACATGAAATGGTCTCATGATGGTTAGAATAACAAAAACATGCAGAAAGCATGGCCCATGGCCCTCTCTTTTGAGGCTGGAGTAAGGAAGCCTTGGCCATCGTCCTGGTTCTTCCTCTCATTTACTGTGCAACTTAAGGCAAGTTCCTTCTTATCTGGACCTACGTCCCCATGTGCCAGAGTTACTTGCTTCTGATTTCCTGACCCAGAGCAAAGTTTGTTAACTTGTAACTGGTTCACTGGACCAGGAGGTGAGAATTCGTAATAGATGCAATCACGCTGTGAAAGTGCCTTGCAAGCTGCTAAATACTATGAGGATATTGTTGTTAGGAAAGGAGGTGAGCATGAGTCATTCCTCTGACCCAGCTTCATCAGTGATTCCCAAACTGCCCTGGAGAGTAACTGTCCTTGGAGAAGCTAACAGGGGCCCTACAGGAAAGGAAAGCTAAAGGACTCTTTTATCCAGTGGCAAACTTGTCTGTGCATTAAACTCACTTGGAAGACTTGTTAAAACAGTTTCTGATTCTTCAGAGCTGGGAGTGTGTGTGTGTGTGTGTGTGTGTGTGAGAGAGAGAGAGAGAGAGAGAGAAAGAGGAGAGAGAGAGAGAATGTGAATGACTGATAAATTCTTAGGTGGTGTGGATGTGGTCTAGGGCAACACTTTGAGAACCACTGCTTTAATCCAAATCAAATGAGTTTGGGAAATTCTGCACACCATATGCCACTGCCTCCCATATACACCTCTGCCTGTCCCCCATTCGCCTAGACTCGCAGTAAACCTTAGTAAGGAATTCTGCAGGGAATGAGCCCTGTTTAAATCAGTTTAGGCCACATTTTCTGCCCTCATTTAACTCTAGGACCCATTTTTTGGCAGCCCATCTATTCCCAGCCTTCAGAGCTAGCTTAGTACTCAGAACTCACTGCAAGAAACCAATGCACCCAAAACATCACACGTCACAGGACACAGAGGAACAGTGTGTCTCTTTTCTTATAAATGACTCATCTGTGCAACACGACTAATTCTTTAGGTCCTAGATGCTGAGGATACACTCTTTTTAAGGCAGTTTAGGAATTGAGTTTTTTGTTGTTTTTTTAAAGCAAGCAAGAAAGAAAATGAAAAGGGGAAATCAACAATGTTTGCTTTGACCTCACCTCTTGTGGAATGTGAAATTTATCCACCACTTTGAGCTCATAATACATCTGTATTCCACATTTCACCAGCTCCAGTTCTGTTAGGGGCAAGTCACTGAAGTGAAATTTATTAATTTCATATTTCTCTGCATCTGGCAGCTCTGCTTGCTGTATAAGAATAGAGTCAAGTGATTAGAAATGTGAAGTGCTTCTGGGTGCCCACCTCCTGCCAGCCCTGTCCCCATGCTGGGTCTGAGGGAGGGATCAGAACAGAGTGATCAGGATCATGCTTTGCAAAGAGACACCCGTGCACGCTCAGGAGCACCTTGGACTTGTTATACATCAGGGCTCACGCTGCCCCGGTTCAGCTCACCAGGATCTCAGTCAGCTCCTCTTCCTCACATTCCCACGGCTCCTTCCCATACACCTCTCTGGTTTTCTGCCAGGGCCCAAAATGGCAGGGGGGAAAAAATAGGTTACAACATCCAAAGTCTAAAAATGTCTCCGCTCTTCCATTCCCACTTATATCCTTTCTCCAAAGTCCTTGCGACAGAACCGTGAGCTCAAAGAGGATTCCATTAAACATGCATTGATGCACCAAGTCCTGGACTTTAGAACCATAGAGACCTGCATTCAAATTTGAGCTCTGCTGCTTACGAGCAGTGTTATTAATGCTTCTGATCTTCAATTTCCTCATCTGTAAACTGAGGATAATAAATGTACTTATCATCTGTAAACTGAGGATAATAAATTCAGTTATGCAAAGTCATTCTCGAGTAATATATGTAAAATTAAATAATGCATAGAAAACACTTAGCACAGTGCTTGGCATATAGTACACTAACATAAAAGAATGCTGTAGTTGATAGTTTTATTGTTATTATTACTGACTGGGAGTAAGGAGGCCTTGGCCATAGTCCTGGTTCTTCCTCGCATTTATTCTGCAACTTGAGGTAAGTTTCCTCTCTCTCTGGGCCTGTGTCCCTCTGTGCCATAGGAGGGGGAACTGAACCCAGTTACTTGCTTCTGATTTCCTGACCCAGAGCAGGATGCTTTAACTTGCAAGTGATTCACTGAGGCTGTGCCCCAGTAGGTTGCACATACCCATTCTTTGGCTGAAACTATGGACAGAGTCAAGCAAACCATGAGGCAATTTATTCAAACTGGATGTTTTCTCCTCTAAATTTACCAGTTATTGGGATGAAATGGTCAAATTTGTTGTGGCATCGTCCCAGCTTAAGAAATGCCCTCTAAAAACATTAGTCTGTCTTTCTTTTTTCTTCTTCTTCTTCTTTTTTTTTTTGTCTCACTCTGTCAGGCAGTCTGAGTGTGGTGGGCAATCACCGCTCACTGCAGACTTGATCTTCATGGGCTCAGGTGATCCTCCCCCCTCAGACTCCTGAGTAGCTGGGACTACAGGTATGCACCACCATGCCTGACTAATTTTTGTGGGGTTTTTTGGTAGAGACAGAGTCTCACCATGTTGCCCAGGCTGGTCTCAAACTGCTGAGCTTAAGCGATCTGACCACGTTGACCTCCCAAAGTGTTGAGATTACAGGTGTAATCTGCACCCAGCTTGATAGGGTCTTCTAAGTGAGCTGACCTCACAGGAGAGAGGCTCTGAGAAACTGACCATTGTCCACTGGTCTTCCAGATAAAGCTTCCTCTCAGAGTAGGGGCTATGGCTGGTTGACCCTGTCTCCAGTACTAGGTCATTCCTGAGCACAGTAAAAAATGAAGTTTCTAGAGCTGTCAGGCCAGCATCTGACCCCAATACTGAGGTGTTTCTGTAAGGAATAACTGTCCCCAGGCCACACAGCGCAGTCATTATGTACCACTCTCAGGCGCGCATCTGTTATGCACTCATTCATTCATTCATTAAATGTTGAGGGCTGCTGCATCCCTGTGCTAGGCAGGAAAAAATACAATGGTGCACAAACCCACGCCCAGCCTGGGCCCTCATGGAGTTGCAAGTTTTGCCTTAGTCTGGCCACATCGCTGAGATGCAGTCTCTCTCTTTTTTTTTTTAATTGCATTTTAGGTTTTGGGGTACATGTGAAGAACATGCAAGATAGTTGCATAGGTGCACATGTGGCAGTGTGATTCACTGCCTTCCTCCCCTTCGCCTATATCTGGCATTTCTCCCCATGATATCTCTCCCCAACTCCCCACCCCCTGCTGTCCCTCCCCTATTTCCCCCAACAGACCCCAATGTGTAGTGCTCCCCTCCCTGTGTCCATGTGTTCTCATTGTTGAGACGCAGTCTCTATTCGAGTAGAAACAAGGAAAGAATATTACACACCAGGATTTTCTGAATTTCTTCATTGTCACATTTCACATGATATTTTACTATGTCCTGGAAAATATCCTTCCTATTTTCAAGTCTATTCATTGACTCATAGGTGTCAGGATTTAAGACAGACCAGCCCAGAAATTGAGTCAAAGACTGAAAAAGAAAGAAAGGAGAAATCAGAGACAGAACACTCAAGTTTAATCTTGACTCTGAAACTTATAGCAAGAGTCTCTAGGCCTCTGTTTTCACAGCTATAAAATAGGTTTGACAAGCCGTGTGCTGCCTACCCTGCAGAGTTCTTCTAAGGCCAAGATAAAGGAATGGATGTGATCACACTTTAAGTAAAGCACTAACATACATAAAGCATCATTCTTATGTGTAATAACTTCACAAAAAGAGAATGGGTTCTTGCATATGTGGGGATAGGGAATATATAGGAACTCTGTACGTTTTGCTTGATTTTGCTAAGAACATAAAACTAAAAAAGCCGAGTTTTTTTTATTTTTCAAAAGCAGAGTTTTTACTTTATGTTTTTTTGAGATAGGGTCTTGCTCTGTGCCCAGGATGGAGTGCAATGGTACAATCATGGCACACTGCAGCTTTGACCTCTTGGGCTCAAGTGATCCTCTCGCTTCAGTCTCCTGAGTAACTAGGACCACAGGTATGCACTACCATGCCTGGCAAATCTTTTTTTTTTTTTTTTTCCAGAAATGGGGTATTGCCCTGTTGGTCAGGCTGATCTCGAATTCCTGGGCTCAAGCAATTCATCTGCCTCAACCTCCCAAAATGCTGGGATTACAGGCATGAGCCACCATGCTCAGCTTGATTAAATTTTTTTAAGAGGAAATGTGGATTTCTCTGACAGCACATCATTGCAGTACAGAAGTGAGAGTAAAGAAAGTGATTGATGAGGCTGAGTCAGGATTAGACCAACCAGGTTGCTGCCCCATGTGATAGAGCAGTGACACCCATCCCCCTCCACCCTCCCTGCAAGCTGACTCTGAATCCCAGCAGCAAAAGACCTGCTAGCAAGCCATACCTCCATAAGTGTCTCATCCATTTCATCAAAGGGCTTCCCATCTTTACGATTGTAAAACGTGGCCACCCCAACAATTTCTTCCTTCTTGTTCACAATCGGCATCGAAAGGACATTTTTAATCATCCATCCAGACTCATCCAGAGGTTCTTTCTACAAGAGAAGGGCAACAATGATAGACTTCACACTACATCATGATCCTGATTGGCTGAGAGGAGGAGGTGGCAAGAGGATGGAGTTTGTCGGAATTTGCACTATTTTAGTCACCCATGACTACCATGAGAAATAACCCATCTGGTTGGAACTCCTTAAGCCAAGTAGCCATTTTGTGTTCGCCCCTCAGATGTGAGGGCCAGTGGGCGTCAGGCAGTGTGTTGCAGGCTGAGGATGTAATGATGTGCAGAACAGCCAAGAGAAGTAGTGCTTCTCTTTCAGATACGGGAGGTAGTGGCGGGGGGCTGGCTTAAAAGGGCGATGCTATGATTATTGTAACTTTGAATTAATAACCTAGATATAACTTGCACTTTTTGCCTCTTGCGCTGACTTCCTGTGTTACTTTTAGCACTTCATTTTCTCTCCTGGGGCCTCAATTTTCTCCTCTATAGAATGGAAAGAATGTGTCTAACTGAACAAATGAAGTTCTTGATCAATTATAAGATTCCTTTGGAGAAGCCTGGCATGGTGGTTCTTGCCTTTGAGATGGTTCAGCCATTGTGCCTGGCCCAACCTATGTTTATTAAAAACGTTATTCAGGGGCTGGGTGCGGTGGCTCATGTGTATAATCCCAGCAATTTGGAGGGCCAAGGTGGGAGGATGACCTGACGTCAGGAGTTCGAGACCAGCCTGACCAACATGGAGAAACCCCATCTCTACTAAAAATATGAAATTAGTCAGGGGTATGGTGATGTATGCCTGTAATCCCAGATACTTGGGAGGCTGAGGCAGGAGAATCACTTGAACCCAGGAGGTGGAGGTTGCAGTGAGCTGAGATTGTGCCATTGCACTCTAGCCCTGGGTAACAAGAAAAACTCCTTCTCAAAAAAACAAAGTTACTCAGGCTACTTGTGGAGGATGAGTTGGAGGAGGAAGACCAGAATCTGAAAACAAGATTAAATGTGCTTTACTAACGTAGTTCAACCGCAATCCAGTGGATGACTTGAGTGAAGACCACGCTGTGCTGCGGTTGTGGTCAGGTTAGCAACTCGCAGCATGTCTTCAGGCTTGTCGCATTGATGTGGTAAAAATCACATCACATCAAGTCCAATTTTCACTTTGGAACTATTTTCTCTTTAAGCTTTTTCATAATGTTCTTGAAGGAGTAAAAAAAATAATCCTGACTTTTCTGAGCCATTTTTGTTTCCTTCTGAATTATTTCCTGATTGATAATGATTTGTTTTTCTCTTATTTGTTTAGCCTAGCATGCTTAGCCAAATCAATATTGACAGGGCCCTGGAGCTGAGGATGTCAAGAAAGATAAGACCCAACCTCGACCAAAGGAAGCCACATTTTACTAAAAGGAATTAGTCTGACACAGAGGCAAGGATAATAAAAGATGAAGTAAAAAAAATATGTAAGAGACACAAGTTCCTTGGTGTGCCTTTCCAGGCCCTGCAAAATCTGACCTCTGTCCCCTGTCTAGAATCTTCTCTTGCCAGTCTCCCCCTCAGTTCCTCACTCAGATTTGTTGGCTTATTCTAGTTCATCCCAATAAGCCATCTCTTTCTTGCAATCTTCTCCCCTTTCTCTATTGCCCATACATAAGTTTCGGGGGCACATTTCTTGACTCCTTCCAGATTCAGTCAGAATCTCCAGAGAGGTTGCCTCCTCTTTCCCACTGCCCTTCTCCTAACCACCACTCCGTGCCTCTTTCCCCATGCAATCATGAGCTTCATGGAGACAAAGACTATGCCTGTCTGGTCCACCACTGTAACAAGTGTAACGTTTTGCCAATGCTGTCACAGACGATATCCTCCACAAAACATTTGTTTAATAAAAAAAAAAAAAAGACAAAATCAAATGGAAGGTTGGGCATGGTGGCTCACACCTGTAATCCCAGAACTTTGGGAGGCCAAGGTGGGTAGATCACCTGAGGTCAGGAGTTCGAGACCAGCCTGGTCAACCTGGGGAGACTTAGTCTCTACTAAAAATACAAAAAATTAGCTGGGTGTGGTGGCAGGTACCTGTAATCCCAGCTACTTGGGAAGGTGAGGCAGGAGAATTGCTTGAACTCAGGAGGCAGAGGTTGCAATGAGCCGAGATCACACCACTGCACTGCAGCCTGGGCGACAGAGTGAGACTCTGTCTCAAAAAAAAAAAAAAAATCAAATGGAATATGAAACAATATTCCATAAAAATTCCAAGGAGAGAGAAATGATATTCAGCCAAAGAATAAAACTTAATAGTAGTGAAAGCATTTGAGGTTGTCATTGAAGGGCAGAGAGGATTTCAACATCTCTTTCCTGCAATCTTCTCCCCTTTGTCTATGGCCTACACATAAGTTTCACAGGAGATGGTAGAGCAGGATTTGAGCAGGAGATAATGGGGAGCAGCATAAGCAAAGGTACTGAGGCCAGTCAGGCACAGTGGTGAACTCCTGTTGCCTAGCTGATTGGCAGGCTGAGGCAGGAGCTTGGCTTGAGCCCACCAGTTGAGGCTGCAATGAGCTATGATTGCACCACTGCATTCCAGCTTGGGCAACAGGGTGAGACCCTCTCTTAAAAAAAAAAAAAGACAAAGAAAACAACAACAACAAAACACCCGGCAAAATGGCATTTTGATTATATTTATTGAAATACAACTTTAGTGTCTGAATCTGATCGTGAAACTTTGGAGCCTTTGTATATTATATATTGTACATCTTGTGGTGGTGTGGGGGGGATAGATTCTGAGGCCAGAAAGCAAAGGGTGTGAATGTTAAAACTGAATATGATCTTGACTTTGGAAAATTACCCGGTTAACCCCGTCCCCATTTCCATTGGCAAAGGACTTTTCTCCTGTCACATGTTAGCTTTGTTGAGGCTGCTTCCCAGCAGAGTAGGTGGATTCTAATGCTCTTCGGGTAGGGGAGAAAAATCATGTGACTAAGACAGCAATTAAAAATGACTTACCTGAAATGCAAAAAAGTCCTCCGCAGGCGCATTCATGATGTTGCAAATCTGAGAGCCGTGAAGGGGAATAATGAAGGTGTGATTAGGCCAGATAGAGTGCCCAGCGAAGCACTGCATACCATCTTCAATAACACCACGTCCTTGCCCAAGGCATTCACATTCTTTTTATCAGATAGACATAGTTGAGAAAATTTGGAATTATTGACTGAGGCTACTAGATAGAAAGGTCCCCCTATAAACACTACTTTTTACAGTTCGCTCCGCCCTTGAATCATTTCTAAACTCTGAAAAAGTTAAGGCTACACCTTGTGATTATTAGTAGCTGGAGAGTATCCCATTTTTCTTGTTCTCCTTTTCTTGCTTATTTGGGTTGTATCCATGGTCTTTAAGTTATAAATACCAGCCCAGCCAATGCGGTGAAACCCTGCTTCTACTGAAAATACAAAAATTAACCAGGATGGTGGCACATGCCTGTAATCCCAGCACCCTGGAGACTGAGGGGGGAGAATCACTTGAACCTGGGAGGCAGAGGTTGCAGTAGCCGAGATCGAGCCACTGCACTATAGCCTGGGCGACAGAGTGAGACCCGGTCTCAAAAAAAATTAATTAAATTAAATTAATATAAATAATGTTACTCTAAATATATTTGACTCAACTATATTTGGGTTCTGTTTTGTTTGTTTGGGCAGGTAGGAGTTTTTCCTTGGAGTATAAATCCCAAGGTAGAATAATGAATGAAAAGTGTTGTAGCTCTGGCTGTATATGGCTAGATTCCTCTCCTGAAAATTGGACCAGTTGACCTCCTGGTAAGGGATCAGATGACACTTATCTGATCTCCCCAGAGCACTATGGGGCCACTGTGTACGGTTATGTAGTATGTCAACTGCACATAAGAATCTGGCCTGGGGCGACTGGGAGCTGAAATCCAGCCTGTGGTCAGCTTGCAGTGCCATGACCCCGACCTTTCTCTAGTCATCTGTTGAGAAATGGTTCCTTCTAGTTCTCAAAAAGGCACCACCTGGACTTGCAGCAACCTGCCTGACAACACAGGAGTGGGCGGTCTGTGGTCTCAGAGAGTGGGCTGTCCCTGCTCCTGTCCCAGGACTGACTGCTCACTGCACCAGCCTTCTGACCTCTCCTTGAACCAGCTCCGTCAGTTGCCATCATTGTCTCCTGACCTTAGGGCTCTTTGAGGGCTCTTTCCTCTCATCTGTGAGCATGCTAGAGTCTCTCTCATGCTTGAAAATGAAATCCTTCCTGCATCCTTCATGGTCCCCAGAGCAACCATCCAGGCATTCTCTTTTCTTTTGCTTTCTTTCTCTTCTCATTACCCACCCACTACTCAGCAAACCACGTGCTGGTTCTGCTTCCAACTTGCCACCAAATCCATTTTCACGGGGGCCACCAATAACCTCTTCAGTGCCAAACCCAATGGGGGTTTTCAGTTCTTATCTCACCAGTTCACTCTGCTGCGTGTCATCATCTCTCTCCCTGTTGAAACTTTCTGCTTCCTTGGTTTCAGGAACACTGTCCTCTCCTAGGAGAGGGTCTCCAAACACCTCTGAACCTCCCTTCTGTTTCTCTATCACACGCTCTTCTTTCACTACCCACTGGGTAGAGGCCAGCATCCTCCAGTGTTGCACCCTGGGTCCACTGCCTGTCTGCCTCTCCCTAGGTGGCTTCCTCTACACTCATAATTTCAAACACCATCTGGTTCTGATATCTTCCAAATCTCTGTTTCCAACACTCTTCTCTCTCCCCGGCATCTGAATTGTCTCTTCATCTACCTGCTGGACATCTGCTCCTTAAAAATGTCACAGTTTCTTGTGTGACACTGAAACTTGCATGTCTGAAACTGCCCTTGTCATCTTTCATCCAAGCCTGATGACAGCACTATCCATCCAGGCTAGAAGCCTGAAATTAGCTTTGACTCCTCTCTTCCCCGATCTGCTTACAATCAATCACAAAGCCCTGCCAGCCTCATCCTCTCAATATTAGACCTGACCCATTATTCCCTTCCTGTGTTCTTGCCTCTGTCAAAGTTGTTGTGATTATTAAATTTAGGTAGTGCCTGACTCATTGTAAGCACCCAGTGGCTGTTAGCAAGAATTGTAGTGTTTTTGTTTTTTTGAGATGGAATTTCACTGTTGCCGCCCAGTCTCGAGTGCAATGACATAATCTTGGTTCACTTCAACTTCCACCTCCCGGGTTCAAGGCATTCTCCTGCCTCAGCCTCCTGAGTAGCTGGGATTACAGGCATGTGCCACCACACCCAGCTAATTTTGTATTTTTAGTAGAGATGGGGTTTCTCCATGTTGGTCAGGCTGGTCTCAAACACCCTACCTCAGCCTCCTCGGCCTCCCAAAGTGCTGGGATTACAGGCATGAGCCACCATGCCCAGTTAATTTTGTATTTTTAGTAGAGATGGGGTTTCTCCATGTTGGTCAGGCTGGTCTCAAACACCCGACCTCAGGTGATTCACCTGCCTTGGCCTCCCAACGTGCTGGGATTACAGGCGTGAGCCACCACGCCCAGCTAAATGATAGTATTCTTTACTCAACCTGTCTTTGTTGAAATTCTCATCACCTCTTACTTGAATGATGCTCTGGTACTCTGCCTGCAGCCCTAGTCCTTCAGCTCCACTTTTCAGGAAGCTGCTAGAGTTATCTTTCTTTTCTTTCTTTTTATTTATTTCTTTTAGAGACAGGGTCTCCCTCTGTTGCTCAGGCTGGAATGCAGTGGTGCAATTATAGCTCACTGCAGCCTGGAACTCCCGGGCTCAAGGGATACTCCTGTCTCAGCCTCTTGAGTAGCTGGACTGTGGGCTAATTTTTTGTAGAGAGGGAGTCTTGCTGTGTTGCCCAGTCTAGTCTCAAACCCTTGGGGTCAAGTGATCCTCCTGGCTCAGCCTCCCAAATGTTGGGATTACAGGCGTGAATCACCATGCCCTGCAAGAGTTATCTTTCTAAAATGAAAATTGACTATGTGAATCTCCTGCTTGTCTACCTGTCACCTGTAGATTAAAGTCCCACCTTTTACGGATGAGCATGGTGGTTCACACCTGTAATCCTAGCACTTTGGGAGGCTGAAGCGGGTGGCTCACTTGAAACCAGGAATTCAAGATCAGCCTGGCTAACATGGCGAAACCCCTTCTCTACTAAAAATACAAAAAATAGCAGGGTGCAGTGGTGCACGCCTGTAATCACAGCTATTTGGGAGGCTGAGACATGAGAATCACTTGAACCAGGGAGGCAGAGCTTGCGTGAACCAAGATCGCACCACTGCATTCCAGTCTGGGAAACAGAGCAAAACACTGTCTAAAAAAAAAAAATTCCACCTTTCAGACAAGGCATCCAAGGTCTGCTGTAATTTAACCCCTTCCTCCCCCTTAAGCCTCATCTTTTGCTGTCTTCCTGTCTCAACTCTAATACTTCAGCCACACTTAACCACACATAGCACACTGCTCCAGGCCTCCATGCCCACATTGTTTCCCCATGTTCTTCCTTCCACCTGGAACCTACTTTTATAACCCCAGCTGCTTAAGTCCTATTTATTTTATTTTATTTTACTTTATTTATTTATTTGTTATTGAAATGGACTCTCACTCTGTTGCCCAGGCTGGAGTGCGATGGTGTGATCTCGGCTCACTGCAACCTGTCTCCAAGGTTAAAAGTGATTCTCCTGCCTCAGCCTCTCGAGTAGCTGGGATTACCAGCACTCGCCACCATGCCCAGCAAATTTTTGTATTTTTAGTAGAGATGAGGTTTTGCCATGTTGGCCAGGCTGGTCTTGAACTCCCGACCCCAGGTTATCCACCTGCCTTGGCCCAACCAGAGTTCTGGGATTATAGGTATAAGCCACTATGCCTAGCCAAAACTATGCACCTTTCCACCTAAGGATTATTTATCTGTGCATTTGATATTTCCTCAAATGTCAATTCTCTGTTCATTCATTTAGACCAATTGCCAACTGAATTGAGAGAAACAAGAGAATCAGGTTTTTTGAGAGCCACACTTGCCATTTTCTTTTCCACCCTCTTGATCTGAAACCCTTCCATTCTTCCTACCACCTGATCCAAAACTCTCCGCCTTGAAAGTTGTATTACTTACCAGGCCATTTTGGGCAACATAAGTGGGGAGCCCGCTTACTAAAGCCCAGTGGTCAGGAGGTGGATTCCTGTGAAGGCCAAAGAGAAATGGGGACTCTCAGTGCAGGGATGGCTGGACTCAGGACTAAAATCTGGGCCTTTGCCCTCCCCCTGCTCTCAGGTGGCTCTCAGCACCTACCCCCCGCCCACACCCAAAATGTTGACCAACCATCTTAATGTCCAAATCTAGACATGGAGAAAAGGGTGGCAAATAGAACATTTTACTGACTGCCCACTAAGTTTCACTCTCCAAGAAAAGAGACAGCATTAATTCTACAGATAGTTATTGGCTGCGGAGCAGAAACCATTATCATCACTTCCCCCATAAAGTTAGAAGCTACTAACAGTATGTAGAGACTGAAAAAATTCATCTATGAAGAATTCCTACCATGTACTAAGCACTAAGCTAAGTGCTTTATGTATTTATCCCTTACAATACCATAACTTTGTGTATTATTACTTTTTGCTTGTTTGTTGTGAGAAAAAAACATACACATAAACACACATTAAAAACTTCACCAATCATTAGAAAATGAACATTTATAAAACCACACGGACATCAAGAACAGCATGGTCAGCTCCTTGGGAGCCCTTGACTTTCCCCCGCAATCATAACTTTCTCCCCAACCCCAAAGGTAACCCTTACTCTGGAATTATGCTAAATTGCATTCTTGCTTTTTTGTAGAGTTTTACCTCCCAAGCACGTTTTCCTGTACCTGTTAGTTTAATTTTGCCTGTTTTTCAACTACGTTTAGATGGAACCATACAATATATATTATTTTGTCTGGCTCCTTTTTTCATGTTGCTGTAATTCATCCACTTTACTGACTTACAATTTTCCCTATACTATAGTGGCTCAATTTATCCATCCAACTGTTGGTGGACATCTCCCTTCCTTCCAGTTAGGGGCTAATATAAACAGTGCTGCTGTGAACATTGGTGCATATGCGCTCTCAATTCTACATGGTGTATTTCTACAAGTAGAAATACTGGGTCATAAGATGTTCATATCGTTAACTTTACTAGATTAAGGCCAAACTGTTTTCTAAAATGACTGTACCAATTTATACTCCCATCAGTGATGCATTAGAGTTTCCTTGTTCTACATCTCTGTTGATACTTAGTATTTTCAGATTTTTAAATGATAGTCCTTCTGGTGAGGTCTAATGGCATCACATCATAGTGTTCTTTCACGTTTCTCTGCAAAATTAATAAAATGGAGTACCTTCCATAAATGTATTTGTCATTTGCATTGTTTTTTTGTAAAGTTCCTCTGTTCATGTCTTTTACTCATTTTTTAAAATTACTTTTAAATTTACTTTTACTCATTTTTCTATAGTGTTTTCTTTTTATTGATTCGTAGGAGACCTTTATATGTTCTCTCTCTTTTTTTTCTCTTTAAAGAGACAGGGACTCACTCTGTCACTCAGGCTGGAATGCAGTAGCCAGACTCAACTGGTCTTGTGACCTCCCCTAGGAACTGACTCACTGCAAGCAGACAGTTTCAATCCCCTATGATGTCATCCTCAACCCAACTAATCAGTCAGTATTCCCCACCCCCTAGCCTCCTGACCACCAAACTATCCTTGAAAAACCCTGGCCTCTAAATTCTCAGAGAGGTAGATTTGAGAATTATCTCTGGTTCTCTTGCTCAGCTGCCTTGAAATAATTAAACTCCTTCTTTGCTGCAACTCTTGCCGTTCTCAGTGTATTTATTGCTTTTCTGGGCAGTGGGCAAGAAGAACCTGTCAAGCTGTGCCATAGAGATGGTGGGGGGGGCTCACTATGTTGCTCAGGCTGGTCTCAAACTCCTGGCCTAAAGTGATCCTCCTACCCCTCCTCCCAAAGCACTAGAATTACAGGCATGAGCCACTGTGCCTGGCCCCATATACATTTTTGGTATTATCCTTTGTCAGTTATTTTTGTTATGAATATATATTCTTGCATCGTGACTTGCCTTTTTACTCTTTATAGTAACCAGCCTCCTAGATGACCCTCAGTGATTCTCACTTCCGTGTATAGTTCCCTCCAACAATGAATCAAAGCTGTTCTCTGTGACCAAAAGAATATGGTGGAGATGAATGTGTTATTTTGAAACCAGATTATGAAAGGCATTGTAGCTTTCACCTGCCTGCTCTGGGGAAGTCAGCCACCAGGCCATGAAGTAACTCAAGTGGCCCTCTGTAGAGGCCTATGTGAAAAGAAACTGAGGCCTCCTGCCAACAGGCAGCATCAACTTGCCAGCCATGTGAATAAGTTATTTATTATTATATATTATTTTCCTCCAATTCCAGGAAAGCCTTCAGATGACTGCAGCCCACACTCATATTTGACCTCAACCTCATGAACTACCTCAAGCTAAAACTGCCCAGTTAAGCCACACTTGAATTCCTGACACACAGAATGAAGAATAATAAATGATAAAAAGAGGTTGGGTGCAATAGCTCACACCTGTAATCCCAGCACTTTGGGAGACCCAGGTGGGGAGATCACTTAAGGTCAGGAGTTCAAGACCAGCATAGCCAACATGGTGAAACCCCATCTCTACGAAAAAAAAAAAAAATACAAAAATTAGCCAAGCATGTTGGCGGGTGCCTATATTCCCAGCTACTAGGGAGGCTGAAGCAGGAGAATCACTTGAACCCAGGAGGCAGAGGTTGCAATGAGCCAGGATCATGCCATTGCACTCCAGCCTGGGTGACGAGAGCAAAACTCCATCTCAAAAATAATAATAATAAAGAGAGATAATAAATCTTTATTGATGTTTTAAGCCACTAACTGTTGGGACAGTGTGTTATGTAGAAATAGATACACTACACTCTCAAATGGTATATTTTGATATATATAGTTCTTGTTCTCAATGTGGTCGAATATATCAATATTTTTGTTTATTTGCTTTGAAGTCTTATTTAAATTTTTTTTATCCCAAGGTCATAAAACTATTTTATGTTATTTATTTATTTATTTATTTATTTTGAGATGGAGTCTCACTCTGTTACCCAGGCTGGAGTGCAGTGGCATGCTCTTGGATCACTGCAACCTCCGCCTCCTGGGTTCAAGTGATTCTCCTTCATCAGCCTCCCAAGTAGCTGGGATTCCAGATGCCTGCCACTACCCCTGGATAACTTTTGTATTTTTAGTAGAGACAGGGTTTCACTATGTTGGCCAAGCTGGTCTCAAACTCCTGACCTCTGGTGGTGATCCACCCGCCTCAGCCCCCCAAAGTGTTGGGATTACAGGCATGAGCCACTGCGCTTGGCCATGTAATTTATTTTTGAGGGAGAAAGCACATTTCTTTTTTTCCATACTGGTACCTATTTAAACAAGCATAATTTATTTGAAAGACCATTCATTTTTCCACCTTTGTCATAAATGAAATGGTTATATATGTGAGTCTGTTTCTGCCTCTTTGTTCTGTTCCCTGGATATATTCCCAGGCTGGTCTCACACTCCTGAGCTCAGGTGATCCACCTGCCTCAGCCTTCCCAAAGTGTGAGGCTGGTGTGTGACATCATATCTGGCCTAAAATTCTCTGTAGAAGATTAAGAAAATTTTCCTCTGTAATGATGATTATGTCATTTTTCTCTTAATGGCAAAGTATATAGGTTGATTTTTCTAATGTTAAACCAAGTCTGCATTCCTGGAATGAATTCAACTGGGTAATTATGTGCAATCTTTTACATATTATTAGTCATTATTTGCTAGAATTTCAGAAATGTAAAATCAATGAAAGGTGATGTATTTCTTTCTTATGCAGTGGCAATCTTTGACATTTAACTGGAACATCTAGTTGATTTATATTTTTAAAAAATTATTGGCCAGTGCATCAGTCATGCCTATAATACCAGCACTTTGGGAGGCTAAGGTAGGAGCATTGCTTGAGCTCAGGAGTTTAAAGAGGCCGGCCTGGGCAACATAGTGAGACCCTATCTCTAATACCAAAAAAAAAAAAAGGAAATAATTATTAGCCAGACATGGTGGATCACGCCTGTAATCCCAGCACTTGGGGAGGCAGAGGAGGGAGGATCACTTGAACCCAGAAGTTTGAGACCAGCCTGACAACATAGTGAGACCCTTTCTCTATAAAACACTTACTAAATAAATAAATTCAAATAATTGATATATTTGAATTTGAATTTCACCTTAATATGTACATTTTATTTTCCTACCTGCTCTATGTTCTTCTCTCGTTCTTTCTCTCTCTTTTTTAGTGAAAGGGTCTCACTATATTGCCCAGGCTGAAGTACAGTGGCTATTCACAGGTGCAATCATAGCTCACTGCAGCCTCAAACTCCTGGGCTTAAACAATCCTCCTGCCTTAGCCTCCCAAGTAGCTGGGACTACAGACAGTGCATCCACATCCAGCATCTATGTTCTTTTATTTGAACTTTTATTTTGCCTTTCTTTGGTTTGATTAGTCATTCATTTACTGTTCAATATTTCCCTCAGCAATGCTTACGGATATCTGGCTGTCTATCCTGGGCACAAGGTCAGATTGCATCCCCTAACCACTCAAGTAAAGTGTGGCCATGTAAGTAGCTTTGGCCAATAAAATGTGAGTAGAAGTGCTGTGTGTCACCTCCAGATGGAGATTAGAAGAGCCAATGCGTGTTTTTCCTTTCTTCTCTGTGGCAGTGTATCTTGCAAGTTTCAAAACACAGCTGCTTTATCAGCCTTGGTTCCTGCATGACCACAACCCACACGCCATTCCTCCAACCACACCTGCTGGTTGCAATGCACACATAGTGGGATGATGAAATAAATTTTAGTTCTTTATACCACTCAGGTTTCAAGGTCTTGTTACAAACGCAGAGCCTAACCTATCTTGGCTGAAACAAAGATTTGTGTCAGAAACAGGGTGCTGTCATACAAAAAACCTAAAATGAGAGGCAGGTTAGGAACGGGGTGGTAGGCATCCTCTGAGTGTTATCAGAGACTAGTAGGCTGTGATGCCAGTCAAGCAGAGACAATTCGGAAAACTGTGACCTGTAACCATTTAAGAGACAGATAACGAGTTCATCAGACTGTGGTTCTAAAAGCTAGAAAAGGGGCTAGAAAACAGAATTGTTGAAGAGTATTTGAATTTGAATTTCACCTGAATATGTACATTTTATAAGGTAGAAAACAAAAAAGAAAAGATGTGCTTTAAAAGAGAATAAGGGGGCTGGGCACGGTGGCTCGTGCCTGTAATCCCAGCACTTTGGGAGGCCGAGGCGGGTGGATCACGAGGTCAAGAGATTAAGACCATCCTGGTCAACACGGTGAAACCTCGTCTCTACTAAAAATACAAAAAATTAGCTGGGCATGGTGACTACAGGTGGCACCTGTAATCCTAGCTACTCAGGAGGCTGAGGTAGGAGAATTGCCTGAACCCAGGAGGTGGAGGTAGTGGTGAGCCGAGATCGCGCCATTGCACTCCAGCCTGAGTAACAAGAGCGAAACTCCGTCTCAAAAAAAAAAAAAAAAAAAAAGATAAGGGAATCAGTCTGGGTGCAGTGGCTCACACCAGTAATCCAAGAACGTTGGGAGGCCAACATGGGTGAATCACTTGAGGTTAGGAGTTCAAGTCCAGACTTGTCAACATAGTGAGACCCCGTCTCTACTAAAAATACACAAATTAGCTGAGTGTGGTGGTGCTCGCCTGTAATCCCAGCTACTCGGGAGGCTGAGGCAGGAGAATCACTTGAACCTGGGAGGTAAAAGTTGTAGTAAGCTGAGATTGGGCCACTGCACTCCAGCCTGGGAGACAGAGCTAGACTCCATCTCAAAAAAAAAAAAAAAAAAAAGAGAGAGAGAGAAAGAGAATAGAATAAGGGAATCAGTCTTTATGCAGGCAGGAAAAAAGAAATAGAGATAACCTAGAAACTGAAGAACTTGAGGCAACTTCTCATCCTCACCAGTAAGAGATAACCCCGAGAACTTGGTTATCTGGGTGATGGGATTATTAGTTCGGTCTGATACCCAAACTGAGTGGCCTATCACACCCACTTTTTGAGGATTAAGGTGGCATACAGCAAATCCCTTCTGTTGGACAAAATTGCCATAGGAGATGAGACTAAAGGTGTGGCTCTCCCACAGAAAGTAATTACAGCTTTAAGGCTTCAGCAATCAAGTTGCAAAAGAGCCATGTCTCAAGACAGACCATGGATGTGGCACATGGAGAGGATTCAGAGAAGAAGGTAACTAGGTTTTTGAGAATCATCTACTGACCCAAGAAAGTATAAGCCTATATTTAAAAAGTTTGCAACTGTTCAAATCTAATGGTCGTTGAGTCCCAGCTACATAGACACAGCACTGAGAGCATTCTTTCCTTTTCTTTTCACTGTCCTCCTTGGTCACACATTGACAAGAGGCTTTCTGTGGGGGCTGTCAGGTCCTTTGCAGCTTCCTGCTTTTGCTTTGCCTCCTTCATATACTGGAAGAGTAGCACTGCAGAAAACAGTTGAAAATCCCTGATTTCATCCCAGCCTCATGCTATACATGGGACCCTGAGGTCCAGACAAACCGCTTACTGGCACTGGATATGAGACTGGGACTCAGAGCATCTGACTCACATTCTGGCCAACTGTGGGCCTCATCAAGGCTCTGATCAAGTCTTCCCCCTACTTGGGGCTCACTGCCCACCCTCTGAGTCTCTCTACCATCTCATGCTGCCTCCTTCCCGCTCTCCCTGCCTCTAACAAACTGTGGGGCCTCATTGGATTTGGTCAGTGTTGATCTTGGAATGAGTATCTTTTGGAAGTTGATAACGTACCTGCACTTTTCCATGTTTTGAGATGTGTTAAAATAAAAGCTATAGGAGGCCCTTGTTTTGGACGAAGCTCTGCCCTAAGCTGCAACAAACCAGACTAAAAATCAGCACGGAGTCACCCATGATAACGTTCCACCTCACCAAACCTAAACTAAGTTGTTTTCTGATCCTCTTAGCAATTGGGAGAGAGGTAAAAGCCAATTTCCCAAAAAGACCAGTTCCAATCCTTAATAGGCATGATAATGAAGTTCCTTTGCTTTAATCCTTACACCAAAAAAAAAAAAAAAAAAAAAAAAAATGAAATGTCGCCCAATTCTAGAATCACCGATAAAACCAACTGAGATATTTAAGCTGAATTTGTTATCGTTTTGTCTTTTGACAGGTGAAACTTACGGGATTACTTTGATGTCTTCTTTGCCATGTAGGATGTAGTCAATGACCTTGTAAAAGTTAATTTCCTGGCAAAAGAAAGAAAAATTATACCTTTTTTTAAAGATAGTGTCTTGCTTGCTTTGTTGCCCAGGCTGGAGTGCAATGGCATGATCTTGGCTCACTGCAATCTTTGCTCCACTGGGATCTTTGCTTCACCTCCCAGGTTCAAGCAATTATTCTGCCTCAGCCTCCTGAGTAGCTGGGATTATAGGCGCGCACCACCACACCCAGCTAATTTATGTATTTTTAGTAGAGACAGGGTTTCACCATATTGGCCAGGCTGGTCTTGAACTCCTGACCTCGTGATCCTACCGACTTGGCCTCCCAAAGTGCTGGAATCACAGGCATGAGCCACTGTGCCCGGCCAAAAAATTGTACCTTTAAGAGTCAAATAGAAGTTCAACAAGAGTAACTTCCTGAAACAGACTTCGTTCTTTTACCATCATATGCCCTGTGGTTTTTGTTGTTGTTTTAGTACATTGATGTTTTTATTGATATAATAGTTGTCCATACTTTGCCTCATGATTTGCAGAAAGCGTCAAGCCTACCCATAACTCCCTCCAAGGATGTGCCTGGGCTGCCTTCTGATGCTCTTTGTCCTCTGCTGACTCTTAGGATTCAGCATGCTCCACCTTGGAGCCAGCTCACAGTGACCAGGCAGGGTTTGGAATCTGAGGCTGGGAAGAGGGATAGGAAATTCTCCAAGAGGAACTGGAGGTTGAGTGTGTGCAAGTTGATCACACAAATTGGGACATTTTTGTCATACCCAAATAAAAGAGAGTGGAGAAGCCAGGGGCAAAAAAGTCCTCAGGACACATAGCTTTGTTCCCAGAATGTAACTCTCTGCATGCCTGGCACTTACACTACCTGCTGTAACTGAAAACTAGTTTTATCTGATAGTTGCTGATACAACTTGCTGTAGCTCTAAGATTAATTTTACCCACTGTCATCAGTCATCAGCCAAAATTTGCCAGCTCCCTAGACCCTTACTAGTGTTGATGAACTTTCTCAAAGAGTAATATTTCTCTTTTTTCTTTAGACACAGGATCTTGTTCTATCACCCAGGCTGCAGTGCAGTGGTGCAATCATGGCTCATTGCAGCCTCGAATTCCTGAGCTCATGTGATCCTCCTGCCGTGGCTTCCCAAAGCACTGGGATGACAGGCATCAGTCACCATGCCCAGCCTCATTTCTCTTTTTTATAAAACCTTTTACCTTCTCTTTGTTCCTTGGACATACGAAGACTACTTAATCTGTGTGTACGGCCCAAATTTGCAAGTCTTCTTTTGCCCCAAAACATTAAATTTAGAGATTCATCACTGCATTTTAATTTTGACTTTGATAAGTGCAGGAAGAAAGAGATAAAGAAGCTGCCAGAATCTAGAGAGCTGGGGAAGTGGTCAGGAGGTTCCCATCCCATTTAAAATCAGAGCCAATCAGCCATCCTCCACGCAGGTGCATCTCTATGGTACGGCCCGCTTTCTTCTTCATGCCTACCACTCAGCTGTTCTCTTTGCTGAGTCATCACTTCAGATCTACCTTCTCAATCATGCTTCATACCTCCAAACTAACTTTATACCTCTTCCATCCCTCCCACCTCCTTGCACCATTAAAATTCCCATTCTCTTAAAGTAGATCTCTTCAATTACATTGCTCTCTAGCATGCAATTGGATGTCGGCGTGTGGCTCCATTCCCCTAGCTCTCCAGGGAAGATTCTATTACCTTTTCCTTAGGGCCTCTGTTTGCCCAAGTATCATGAGCAACTGTTTCACAAATGAGAAAGCTGAGACGCAGAGAGAGGAAAGGACTCGCTTGTAGCAAGACAGTGAACCCAAATCAGAACCTGGGTCCTTAATTCCCAGCTCAGTGCTCCTCCTCTGTGTCACTTCCGGTTAACAGCTTAGTGTTTTACTGTCTGCATCACTGTCTCCTTGAACAGGGTTGCTCAGAGCGTAATCCCTGGAGCAGCGCCAGTCTGCAAACTCTTTACTATTCCAGGAGAAGAGAAGACCAGAACTGTGTGTGTGTGTGTGTATATATATATATATTTAAGTTGGAGTCTTGCTCTGTCCCCAGGCTGGAGAACAAGGGCAGTGGCATAATGCAAGATTTATATTTTGTCTGTCTTTATATGATTTTGTTTTTCTAGGAATATATTTTACACTTGATCTTAGCCAAAAGGCCGAGAAGCGATCCAGGAATATATTTTATCATATTTTTAGAAGTAGCAATCAAAACATATTGGAGGAGTGACTCACTCTCTTGAGTACACCCGCACTCCCCTTTCTTGAGTGTGTTTCTCACTGAAAAAAAAAAAAAAAAAAGAAAAGAGAATTTTATTTAAAAAGAAAAAACAAACTGTTCCTTGTCTACAGGTATTTTGAGAAGTACCTCCTTAGAGATTTCAGTGCAGATACCTGAGCTCCACCCCAAGCCTCCTGACTCAGACCTCCACAGAGAAGAATTCCTGAACTAGTTAAGGATGTCTGGAGGCCCGTTTGGTTGACAGGCAATCAGCAAAGGTGACCTTCCAACTCATAAGGGAGAGGTTCTGCTGCTCAAAGCCTCCTAGCATTGTGGCAGCTGCACTGGCTGAACACTTCCAGGAGGCAAGCTCTGCCTAAACAAAAGGCAGAAACTAAAGCTGCTCCAATCGCATAGGCTACCCCCAGGGGTAGTGAGCTCCCTAAAATAGGAAGCATTCAAGGGGAAACTAGATGAACCCTGAAGCATGATAAATGAAATGGAGCTGAAACTAGACTTCAAGTGAGTCTCGGTTCTACTCTGTGTGTTCTGTGGGCCTCAGTTTCTCCGGCTGTGAAATGAGATCAGTGGTATGCATTTGCTGCTGCTGTTGAGTAGCAGCTCTCTTTCCCCAAGAAAAGCATGGAAGCTAATCATATAAAACTGTCCTAATGGAATCAGGGTCGGGTATAGAAAGGCCCTGCTGCTTTGCCCTCTCTCACTCCCTTTCCTGTCCTCTTCCTTTTCCATTAACCCCTGGTCAAGGCAGCTACTGTGGAACTCTAAGGTTCTAAGGACAATGGGGGAGAAAGAAAATTGTATTAGGTAATCCATGAAGTCCCTCCCAGCTACGATTCTAAGATTATGATTAATTAGCAATATCGCTCAAAGATCAAAATAGACATATTCTTTGACTTATAAGTGGTAATGGATCCTAGAGATATACTCCCAAATGTGGGTAAAAGCATTCTTTGCCCCATCTGGGGGTCTTAGCTAGACTGCTTTAAAAAGTCTAGAGAAGGACCACTGCACTCCAGCCTGGGCAACAGAGAGTCCATCTCAAAAAAAGAAATGGATATTTTTTTTTTTGGAATCTCACAGGAGAATCAATTTTCTTTCCCAAAAGTAACAAAAAGATCAGTGTACTTTGGGCAACTAGGCTTTTTTTTTTTTTTCCACACACTGTAGCTCAGTCAAGTTGTCTTTAAGGCCATATTCATGTACAAATTCACCAGCCTCTGGAAAGTCACGCCTGTAATCCCAGCACTTTGGGAGGCCGAAGTGGTTGGATCACGAGGTAAGGAGATTGAGACCAGCCTGGCCAATATGGTGAAACCCCGTCTCTACTAAAAATACAGAAATTAGCTGGGTGTGGTGGCATGTGCCTCTTGTCCCAGCTACTCGAGAGGCTGAGGCAGGAGAATCGCTTGAACCCGGGAGGTGGAGACTGCAGTGAGCTGAGATAGTGTCACTGTACTAAAGCCTGGAGACAGAACAAGACTCTGTGTCAAAAAAAAAAAAAAGTCTGGAGACGATGTAAGGTCTCTTATTAGGAGTTAGTGGTACAGTGGATACCATGTTTCCAGAGTGAGATCACTGCGCCTGTGCTGCTAGGGAAACATGACAAAATATACAGTTAAGTGGAAAAAGCAAGGCACAAAATAGAATCATAGCATTAGTAGAGGGTGGTGGGGTGGTGGAGTATGTATACTTCTCCATGAGTATCTGGATATTCATAAACCTTCCTGGAAAGAGAGTTTGCTAACAGCAGTTGCTTTGCGGAGGCTGACCAGGAGGAAGTGGGGGCTTGATTTCGTATGGAGTGAGATTTTCACTGTGCTCATGTATTAGTTTTTCAATATACAAACGAATTTTCTTTTTTCATATTTTTTATTTTGCTTTATTTTATTTATTTATTTACATTTTTTTGAGACAGTGTCTCATTCTGTCACCCAGGCTGGAGTGCAGTGGCACAATCTCGGCTCACTGGAGCCTCAGTTTCCCAGGCTCAACCCTCCTATCTCAGCTTCCTGAGTAGCTGGTACCATAGGCATGTGTCACCACACTAGGCTACTTTTTAAAAAAAATTTTTTTAGGTGGAGTTTCACTCCTGTTGCCCAGGCTGGAGTGCAATGGCGTGATCTCGGCTCACTGCAATCTCCCCTTCCCGAGTTCAAGCGATTCTCCTGCCTCAGCCTCCCTAGTCGCTGGGATTATAGATGCCCACCACCACACCTGGCTATTTATTTGTATTTTTAGCAGAGATGAGGTTTAACTGTGTTGGCCAAGCTGGTCTTGAACTCCTAACCCCAGGTAATCCACCCGTCTCAGCCTCCCAAAATGCTAGGATTACAGGCATGAGCCACTGTACCCTGACTTTATTTTTTTTATTTTTTATTTTTTTTTCTGGCTTTAATCTTGTTCTTTTTTTCTCTCTGTTTCATTACTAACTTGCACACACCTCCATTGTAGCAAACACGTTTTGTTTTTTTTTTTTTGCATCTCTTCCTACCCAACTCTTCATAGGAGAAACCTGGGAGTTATTCTGGATACCTCCCTCTTCTGCATCCTCAGCATCCAATTATTTACAAGTTCTGTTGATTTCATCTCCAGAATATACTTAAAATCCCTCTACTGCTTTCTACCCATTCCCTTATAACTCTAGTCCAAGCCACCATCAACTCTCACTTTGACTTCTACAACAACTGAATTAATCTCCTATTACTGACCTTCTCAAAGTATTCTCTACCTAGGAGCTAAAGTCTTTTATTTATTTATTTTTGAGGGAAAAAGAGAAAAAGAAGGGGAAAAAAGAAAAAGAGGGAAAAAGGAATATTACTTCATTCCTAAAATGGGTTTCAATAATGGCCGATCAATATTTTGAGTGTTTAAAGTGGTTAATGCATATTTTATGTGTTTAAAATGGAGACCTCTATTGTGTTTATTTGTTCTGGCTCTGAGTTCAAGTCCTGGATATCGTTATCAATTTGTTGTCTCGTTGAATCTAAATCTCATTATGTGTCTTATGTATCTGGGTGTTAAGATCTCTTATTGTTGCATTAATCCTTTTACCCTTGCATCCTTGTAGCCCTGACTTTATTTATTTATTTATTTAGAGACAAGGTTTAGCTTTGTTGTCCAGGCTGGTCTTGAACTCGTGGCCTTAAGTGATCCTTCAGCCTCAGCCTCCCAAAGTTCTGGGATTACAAATTTTCTTAATTCTGGCAGAACAAATTTTCTTAAAAATATTTTTAAATAGCCAAGTTGTACCTTGCAAACAGTTCTAGAAAGCAAAGGTGGTGGCATTATCCCCTAGGAGTTAAGTTTCTGCCTGGGAGGGGTAGGAGGCAGAGTTCCAGGACCTTCTTGACATCTTTGTCTTGTCTTAGGGCCACCTGTCCTTGGGCCTGTGCTGCTCACTGTACTCCTGGCAGGCTCCTGGGCCTGGCTGCTGTCCTACCCAGGGATTCCCACCAGACTCTTTAGAAAGGTTAGGAATGGATATTTTTAGGCCGGGTGCGGTTGCTTATGCCTGTAATCCCAGCACTTTGGGAGGCCGAGGCAGGCAGATCACTTGAAGTCAGGGGTCTGAGATGAGCCCGGCCAACATGGTGAAACCCTGTCTCCACTTAAAATACAAAATCAGCCAGGCATAGTGATGGGCACCTATAATCCCAGCTACTCGGGAAGCTGAGGCAGGAGAATTGCTTGAACCCAGGAGGTGGAGGTTGCAGTGAGCTGAGATCACACCACTGCACTCCAGTCTGGGCAACAGAGGTCCTTTTCAAAAAAAGAAATGGACATTTTTTTTTTTTTGGAATCCCACAGGAGAATCCATTTTCTTTCCCAAAAGTAACAAAAAGATCAGTGTACTTTGGGTAACTAGGCTTTTTGGTTTTTTTCACACACACTAGCTCAGTCAAGTTGTCTTTAAGGCCATATTCATTACAAATTCACCAGCCTCCAGAAAGTCAAAACGGAGCCATCAAGAGTACCTTTGTTACCTTCTACCTGAGCAGCTGCCACAGGGACTTTGAAAGAGCCACAAATACCCATGGAAATATACCACTTTTTAAAAGACTGCTATTTTTTTTATGAAGCCTAATTACCCTGTATAACTTTTAAATACTTAAAACATACAGACACCATTTTATTTTTAAAAGGAGATGAAGTAAGATGTAGCTGACATTGTGAGGCTTTAGACCTAACATTTGGGAATATCAGTTGGTTGGAATTCAGATAAAAGCTGTATTTCTAAGTGAATATGGCAGACAGAGCGTGAGAGGGACGTTAGAAGGCATAGGGAATGTTAAAGGGCTAAATTTTAGGCCAGGTGTGGTGGCTTCCGCTTGCAATCCCAGCACTTTGGGAGACCAAGGCAGGAGGATCACTTGAGGCCAGGAGTTCAAGACCAGCTTGGGCAACATAGCAAGACCTCATCTCTATATAAAAAATATAAATAAAAACAAATAAAATAAAATGCTGCAATTGGATGAGACCAGAGGTCAGAAACTAAAATCCCTAGAGAGGTCTGATAAAAACAAAAATGAGAGCAGGGCGCAGGTGTACGTAAGAGAGAGTGGTGGGGGCTGGGAGTGCTGGCTCATGCCTGTAATCCCAGCACTTTGGGAGGCCAAGGTGGGTGGATCACCTGAGGTCAGGAGCAGCCTGGCCAACATGGTGAAACCCCCATCTCTACTAAAAATACAAAAATTAGCCAGGTGTGGTGGCAGGTGCCTATAATCCCAGCTACTTGGGAGGCTGTGGCAGGAGAATCGCTTGAACCCAGGAAACAGAGGTTGCAGTGAGCCGAGATTGTGCCGTTGCACTCTAGCCAGGGTGACAAGAGCAAAATTCTGTCTCAAAAAGAGAGTGGTGAGGACTGTGGCAAGCTAGAGAGTGCAGGCCACATCCCAAGGAGACAGCTGTAACTGAGCTCTAATCAAATTTGCCCTACTGGATTGTGGGCCCAGTTTTGATTAGTCATCCATTTTTTCAAAAGAAACTGATAATTCAGATATTTATGGGAAAGACTTTGATTTTTAAGGGTTAGCCACCAATTTCCCAGCACTTTGGGTGGCCAAGGCAGGAGGATCACTTGAGCACAGGTGGTCAAGACCAGCCTAGGCAACATACCAAGGCCCTATCTAAGAGAGAAAGAGAGGGGAGAGAGAGAGAGAGAGAGAGGGAGGGAGGGAGGGAGGGAGGGAGGGAGGGAGAGAGAGAGAGAGAGAGAAGAAAAAAAGAAAGAAAAAATACAAGAGAAAAAGAAAGAAAACAAAAATGTTAAAACCTATGTAGCCAAGCAAGTGTGTCTATCAGCTAGAATGGGCTTTCTGGCTACTAATTTGTACATTATAGACTATATAGAAAGGTTTTCTAAGCTCATGTTGTCTGTAACTCTAAACTCCTGCAAGGTGAAGACTTGAGTAGGTTGCTTGACCTTTCTGGGTCTCTTTCCTCAGCTGTGGAATGAGCATGTTGGTCCCTGTTTGGTCTACCCCACAGGTTACTGTGAAATCCCAGTAAGATATTAAACATTTTGCTTCTTGTTAGTATAGAAGGAAGGAAAGAAGGAAGGAAGGAAGGAAGGAAGGAAGGAAGGAAGGAAGGAAGGAAGGAAGGAAGGAACTTTGCAAATAATAGGACAGGGCAATTATGAGGAATTATTGTTGTTTTTAACTTTTTTTCTCTCTTGTTTTATTTTCTTTTTAGCACCTGTCTGCTGTTGATCATGAGGGATTATTTTAACTTCAAGGGAGACAACCTAACTGAAAGACAAATACCTATATGATTAAAAAAAATGCCCTTCGACAGAGTTTACTGTGTCTTGCATTTGAATATAGTAAACATCAGATCATATTGAAAAGGCCAAAGAGAACTTACTCTTCCATCCGGAGTCCTGGGACCAGAATAAGGTGGAACTTCACCCATGAGAACTGGCCACACATCAAAAAATTCCTAGGGATGAAAAAAAAACAATAATTACATGTTTTGAAAAGGAGATTAAGAAGTCCCACCTGTATGAGTCAGCTAACACTGAAATTTAGAAAGGGAGAAGAGCTCATGAAAACCAAACTTGGAAAGGCAGTAAGATTCACTACGGTTAGAAAATAGTCACATTTGCCCTTCAAAATATTGCTGAACTGGGCTTGTCTAGTCATTAGCCAAAAACATAGGAGCTGAATTGGGGCACCCTCAGTGTTATTGGACATGAGAGGGAAAGTAGGGTCTCAATGGCTAAGAAATTTACCTTAAGACCATGCTAAGCACGTGCTCAAAGATTTAGCTAAAGCGATGTTCCAAGCAGTATCACTTATAGTAGTGAAAAATTGTAAACAATCTAAGTGCCCAACAAAAAAAGGTTTTATCAAATCAATTATGGTGCATCTATTAACAATGATGTCACAGATGTGTATGCTGATTGAAAAGATACACTGACAAGTGAAACATGTGGGAGGCTACAAAGAATATATCATGTGACCCTAACGTTCAATACATAGAAAATGTTGTGAATACATTTACAACAAAGTTGTTGGTTTTTTTTTTTTTTTTGAAACAGGGTCTTGCTTGTTGCCCAGGTGGAGTGCAGCGGCTCTAGCTCAGCTCACTGCAACCTTCATCTCCTGGGTTCAAGTGATACTCCTGGCTCAGCCTCCTGAGTAGCTGGGATTACAGGCATGTGCCACCATATTCAGCTAATTTTTAGTAGAGATGTGGTTTCACCATGTTGGCCAGGCTGGTCTTGAACTCCAGACCTCAGGTGATCTGCCTACCTTGGCATCCCAGAGTGCTGGGATTAATGGCATGAGCCATCACATGTTGCCCACAACTAAGTATTAACAAGTGGTTTTCTCTGAGTGATTGGAGTCAGACTGTAATTTATTTAGGAATTTTTTATAATAAACTTTATTGTTTTTATAATCAGGGAAAAATATTTTCGCAAATAAGAAAGAAAAAAGATCATGCCAAATATGGACAATAGACCTATATCTGGGATCCAATAAGAAAAGCTGACACCCATAAGAGAAGTGGCTGCTAAAAGCAAAATACGCAGGTGCCTTAGCCTGAGGCTGTCTCTGTTCTTCCAATTCCCATGTAAGAATGAGTTCCTACAAAACAAACTGCAACCTCAGTAGGCAAACAAACCAAAACCCAATTTAGGAGTACATAATTGTAACAAATAATTGAGTTTCAACCAATCACAGGCAGCCCAACTGATCCAACCATGCCCAAATAAGGCAAATGCCCTATTGTAGCTAATCATGTTATTTCTAGATTTTACTTCCATGTTCAGCTATAAAAGCTCACTGACCATGTCATGCAGCAGAGCTCTTTGAACTTCTTCTGGTTTTGAGGGTTGCCCAATTGATGAACTGTTCTTTGCTCAAATAAACTCTGTTGAATTTGTTTTGTCTAAAACTGGCCAAGGCTGGTTGTGGTGGCTCGTGCCTGTAATCCCAGTACTTTGGGAGGCCAAGGCGGGTGGATCACTTGAGCCCAAGTGTTTGACACCAGCTTGAGCAACATGGCAAAACCCCGTCTCTACCAAAAATACAAAAATTAGCCAGGCGTGGTGGTGTGTGCCTGTAATCCCAGCTACTCAGGAGGCTGAGGCAAGAGAACTGCTTGAACCCAAGAGGGGAAGGTTGCAATGAGTTGAGTTCGCACCACTGAACTCCAGCCTGGGTGACAGAGTGAGACCCTGTCTCAAATAAACAAATAAATAACATAAATAAATAAAAGTAGCCAAGTCACAGGCAGAGGGAAGAGGAAAAAGAGGCAGTAAAGGAGCTGCACAATCATGAAGCCTCAGGAAGGGCCAACTGCGAACCACACGGGCTCCTCCCCACTACTTCTTCATGGGTTTCCTTCGCTCCTAGAGCGGCAAAGCTCGTGTGGAGTTAAGACTGGGCCCGGCAGAGGAGCGTCCATCCTCCAGCACCCTCTCTGTTCATTCATCTGTTACTATACAGGGACAAACTGTGATCTATTAGCACTGGGTTTCCGTGGGTAGGATGCCAAGCCCTCCTCGTTCCTCTCATTTGAACATGTTTGTCACGGCGGTTTGCTTATTCTAATATCCAGAGGAGCAGAAGGGAAGCCACACGAAATGCAGAGTCCGCATCTTTGCCCTTCTCCCCAGTTGAGCTCTTTTTCTAGACTACCAACAACAGGAAGAAATTTAATTCTAGACGAAAATTTAGAAAAAAAATTTAAGGGGTGAAAATATAATGAGGCCCTACCTGAGCCCCACAACCTGCTTGCCGCTAGGTATACACAGGTGAAGAGGGCACAGTTTGTATCCTGGAAGAACATCTTGTCTCATGAAGAAGGTAATGAATAGTGAGGTAAATGAAGCAAGAACCAAAACAGTGCTGGAAGGAGAGTATAGACGCTAGAGGAGCCCAGAAGAACACTTGTTCAAAACTCTGTCTCAAAAAGAAAGGATTGAAATCTATTTCTTATTAATTTGTGGGAATGCTTTATATATGATAGGGATTATGTATCTGTTACATGTACTATAAACATTTTTCCCTGTCTGTGAATTATATTTTAGCTTTGCTTATAACCTCTTTCATCAGACAGAAGATTTAAATTTTCTCTTTATAGCTTCATTTTTGGGTTTTATTTAGGAAAGACTTTCCTACCCCCAACATGAAAAATAATCTGAAATAATCTCCTGTATTATCCCTTAACATTTTTAAAGTTTTAATATAGTTTAATCTTTCATTGATTTTTAAGTTAGGTATGTGTATGGTGTGAGATGGGGTAAATTTTGTTTTTTTCCCTGTATTTTTTTACTTAAAGAGTAGTGGGAGATGTGAGAAAGATCTAGCTGTGACATCAGTCACACCATTGATTGCCAGTGTTGATTTGGCTGATCTGGCTGGCTAGGCGGGTGTCCCTTTTCTCTCTGACGGCTCCTGTGTTCCTGTCTTTGCACTCAGTCAAAGAGGGTGAACTTCCCCGACAGAGGAGAGTTGTTCTTGGATCAACAGTATATGAGTATCTGTGCTCTTCTGCTAGAATATCCAAACAAGCTCTCAAGAATAGTGAGAGGCGGGGTACAGTGACACGCACCTGTAGTCCCAGCTATTCAGGAGGCAGAGGTGGGAGGATGGCTTGAACCCAGGAGTTCAAGGCTGCAATGAGCCATGATCACACCACTGTACTCCAGTCTGCTGGGTGACAGAGTGAGACCCCATCTCGAAAAAATAAAGGAGTGAGGAAATATTTTTTTTTTTTTTTTTTTTAAGATGGAGCCTCTCTCATCCAAGCTGGAGTGCAATGGCGTGATCTCGGCTCACTGCAACTTTTGCCTCCCAGGTTCAAGTGATTCTCCTGCCTCAGCCTCCCAAGTAGCTGGGATTACAGGCACACATCACCACGCCTGACTAATTTTTGTATTTTTCAGTAGAGACAGGATTTTGCCTTGTTGGCCAGGCTGGTCTTAAACTCCTGACCTCAACCGATACATCCGTCTTGGCCTCCCAAAGGGCTGGGATAACAGGTGTGAGCCACTGTGCCTGGTAGAGGAAATATACAATTTTAAAGTACCACCATTCTGAGAATTTGCATTATCAGATACCAAATGTTCATATACATGGTTCTTACTTTTCTGGGGTTTTGTTTGTTTGCTTGATCTTTTTGTTGTTGTTGTTTTGTGTTTGTGTGTGTGTGTGTGTGTGTGTGTGTGTGATGGAGTCTTGCCCTGTCACCCAAGCTGGAGTGCAATGGCATGATCTCAGTTCACTACAACCTCCACCTCCTGGGTTTAAGCCATTCTCCTGCCTCAGCCTCCCGAGTAGCTGGGACTACAGGCATGTGCCACCACGCCTAGCTAATATTTGTATTTTTGGTAGAAATGGGGTTTTACCATGTTAACCAGGCTGGTCTCAAGCTCCTGACCTCAGGAGGTCCTCTCGTCTTGGCCTCCCAAAGTGCTAGGATTACAGGCGTGAGCCACCACACCTGGCCTGTTTGTTTGATCTTTATAATAGCTCCTTAAGTGATTCTGTGCGGTTGGGCCACGTACTGGTTTTAGAAAACCTCTGATTCTAGTGAAAGCATTCATCTGATTAAAAAAAAAATTCTAGAGACAGGGTCTCACTATGTTGCCCAGGCTGGTCTTGAACTCCTGGGCTCAAGCCATCCTCCCACCTTGGCCTCCTAACATGTTGGGGCTATAGGTGTGAGCCACCATGGCCTGCCTCATCTGATTTTTGTATACTCTTCATTTTTTTTTTTTTTTTTTTTGAGACAGAGTCTCTCTCTGTTGCCAGGCTGGAGTGCAGTGGCATCTCGGCTCACTGCAACCTCCACCTCCCGGGTTTAAGCAATGCTCCTGCCTCAGCCTCCCAAGTAGCTGAGATTACAGGAGCCTGCCACCACACCTGGCTAATTTTTTGTATTTTTAGTGGAGATGGGGTTCCGTCATGTTTGCCAGAATGGTCTTGATCTCCCAACCTGGTGATCCTCCTGTCTCAGCCTCCCAAAGTGCTGGGATTACAGGCGTGAGCCTCTCACTATTCTTGAGAGCTTGTTTGGATATTCTAGCAGAAGAGCACAGATACTCATATACTGTTGATCCAAGAACAACTCTCCTCTGTCGGGGAAGTTCACCCTCTTTGACTGAGTGCAAAGACAGGAACACAGGAGCCGTCAGAGAGAAAAGGGACACCCGCCTAGCCAGCCAGATCAGCCAAATCAACACTGGCAATCAGTGGTGTGACTGATGTCACAGCTAGATCTTTCTCACATCTCCCACTACTCTTTAAGTAAAAAAATATAGGGAAAAAAACAAAATTTACCCCATCTCACACCATACACATACCTAACTTAAAAATCAATGAAAGATTAAACTATATTAAAACTTTAAAAATGTTAAGGGATAATACAGGAGATTATTTCAGATTATTTTTCATGTTGGGGGTAGGAAAGTCTTCCCTAAATAAAAC